TGTGTGTGTGTGTGTGTTGTTATCTTCTATTTTCAGGTGTTTCTCTCTAACTGAAAGTGGACATGCAGTTAGCTGTGTCACTTACTTCCCTGATTCTGTTGTAAAAAACCCCTTACTCATGCTTCAGACATGAGTGACCAGTTCAAGTCCGTCAGACTTCACGTCTGTTAAGTAGCATAAATTAACAGTATCTTATCTATAGTTTCCAGAATGACACTTATCTATGCAAACTATTCTTGCACAATTTTCCAAGAAGATGAGAAATACTACAAGTTGACTCGAAGCTGAAATTTATAACTATAATTCATGCATAAGAGCCAGGTTAATACTGATACATGATGCTGTTAATGAAACAGAGACAGTCATACTAAACTTTATCATTATAAAAGCAAAATAATACTAACAGTAAATAAAACAACTGTAACTCCTGAAATCCAATCCTAACAGTTTGCAAACTGAACGTAACTGTTTTGCAGCTTTTCACAAAGGTCCATAGGTGTGATACTGTTTGTACAAACTACAAACAAATGAAATTTCTCCGCACAAAATGAATTGAGACAAAACATACTTTTGGAATATGTAGTCATGTAGTCATCAGTCTACAATGTGTTGCAATTACTGTGTGCACAGTCATGTTCTGGCATAGATTTATTCTGTAATGTGATGCAAATATGTGCAAAGCCATTTTCTGGCATAGTTTTGTTCTGTGATGTGTTGCAAATATTGTTAGCAAATTTTGTTTTTGCACAGCTATGTTCTGGCATAGATTTATTCTGTAATGTGTTGCAAATATTGTGTGCACAGCTATGTTCTGGCATAGTTTTGTTCTGTTTCACTGGCTCCCAGTATGTTTTAGAATTTATTTTTAAATGTTATTACTTTTAAGCCCCTGCATGGCCTCTCTTCTAGCTACATCTCTGACCTTTAAGTACTGTGTATGCCTTTTGTCTGTTCTAAGGGCCCAGCTGAACAATAAAGGGGACAAGGTGTTTACAGTCAGGGCCCCAAAGCTCTGGAATGCCTTGCCTGACAAAGTCAGGTGAGCTAAGTCAGTAACCGCTTCTTAAAATGTAGCTCAGGACTCTAGAGGTTAATGGAGAGCCTTTCCTGATTTAAAAAAATAATTATTTGCTGCCTTGTAAAGTACTTTGTAATGTAGATTTTGAAAAGTGTTCTATAAATAAAGATTATAACAGTTTCAAAAAACTGTCAAAATGCTAAAAAAAAAAAAATCTAATTTAGAACATTTAAAATTATTTAAAATTCTGTGAAACTCAATCTGCTGATAAAGATAGCTTTCAACAGTATTGCACTGACAGTGTAGTCAGATTTTGTCAACTGCTGTTTCCAAAGTCAAGAATAAACTTTTAATCTCAAATCTGCTCGGTTTTTAGACAGGTACTGATTCAACTTTTGGAGGCTGCTGCCCATATGTATCAGTGAGGACAGACAGTGTTACACCTCTATGAAACACTTTCAACAAAAGCTGAACATATTAACCTTCATGAAGGGAAGATTTATTGAACATAATACACTGACTGTATTGTGATTACTAGTTCCAGGCCAGGGTATGTCTTATTCTTAAATAACTGATCAGATAAAGAACACTACTTATCAGCACAGACATTACATACTGTAATCTGACTGGGCTGCCATTTAGCTTCACTTTTTGTATCAAATGTCTGAGTTGTGATGGGAAATAATTCAGTTGTGTGGAAACTGGTTGCACCCTTAATATTGCAATTTTAACTTCTGCTTGACAATAGCATTATAAGGTCATGAAATATTCAGACAAATTAGATGGTAATGTGTCCTAAACAGACACTGTCTCTGATTTTGTACTGAGCTGGTATAAAAGGAAAATCAAAGAAAGTATGATAAGTGCAATTCACTGTACACAGTGTATTGCTCAACCAATATGGATTGTTCAGTGGCTGATATACAGTATAATGTGATATGTTGCTGTTTTTTTGCACCAGATAAAATACAGCAATTTAATAAGAAATGAGACACACATTTGCTTAACTTAAATGAACATATAACACTAATGAATTATGAAAATATTTGAATTATTAAGTATTTGAAAATAAACAAACTGCATAGCCTCTGCTACAATCTGTTAATTGGCTTTGTGAGCGCAGACATCAGCCAACGCCTGTTATTTAAAAATGCCATATAACAACCCAACTGATCAGCCAACCAATCAATCGGTCTACCACTAATATACAGTGTATTCTAGTTTTATTGTACTCAGATCTAGACTGTCAATTTTGTAGTTGACCCTGTAGCACTGATATAGGGATCACTGGACATCCCCAGACCCCACTTTGACAATCCCGGACTTAGAATGAAGCAACAGTGACATTTCCCATTTCCACACTGGTTCTTACAGACTGGGTGTTTTATTTTTCTTAACTGTTAGGAAGTGAAAACACTAACCCACAGGTTGGTGAAATAAATTCCACCCATCACCACAAGAGAAGTGCTCTTTGTGCAGCGTCCTGCTCACACAACACTGCCTGGTGTCAGACTGTCGTTCTCTGTGTAATCCAGCAGAAAAGGTAAGCTCAGTCTCTGTCTCTTTATTCTCTGTTACCTAACTAAACTACCAAACTAAGTATTTTTATTTGCTTGTATTTCTGGCACTTTCAATAAGACAGCAAACATTTTTTGTTAATAATAATTTTTTAAAAAGCCACAAAAATATATTGTGACATTTCCCACTCTTATGATCTAGTCATGCACATACTGTCATTTTGGTTTTACTTGCAGATCTTAGGGGCAGAAATCTCAGAGATGGAGGCCATTGCCAAAAATGAAACACACTTAAATGGTATGGGAACATCAGATTTGTATTAATTCAAGTTTATTAATTATACAGCTTGTACCTGAGTTAACTGGCTGAAGAAGTGTGTCTCTAATCACAGTGGAACCCTACCTCTCTGAACATATACCAAAATGTTTGAGGCTCAAAAACATTGATTGGTGACTCTAAATTGCCCGTAGGAGTGAGTGTGTGTGGTTGTTTGTCTACATGTCAGCCCTGTGACAGACTGGAAACCTGTCTAGGATGTTACCCCTCCTCTTGCCCAAAGGCAGCTGGGACTGTCTCCAGCGACCCTATTCAGTTATAAGCGGTATAGCCAATGGATGGATAGATGGAGATAAAACTACATACAGTAGGTCTATATAATGTAATTGACATCTCTGCCACACAAATTAATAAAGACTGAATTGCATTTTGCTGTTTCAGTAGAATAAATGACCCCTCTCACTGTGCTGGCTGACTGTTACACTGTGCCTCGCTCAGACATTTTTATAGTTATTACTAACCGGTGTGCGTTTCTTGCTTTGATAAGTAAATGCGTCTGCTGTTAAAGAAAAGAATAAACACCTACTGTTCTTGTTACTTGAACTAAAAGTAGCACTACACCTCGTTGCTGTTTCCAAAAGTTGAAAACTTGAAATATACTGTACATACAGTAGAATACATGACTCCCAGATGCCACAGTTTCTCAACTAAATAACATTACACAAAAACATTTCCTCACACTGTTACATGTACGAGAAGCGGTTGCACAGCTCAACCTATGCTTCCTATTGTTTTCTCTGTTTTTGAGCAACAAGGCATGCTGTGGGAAGCTATATAAAAATTACCAAGGTTTCACTTGATGTGAACAGACAAGCCATTGAGCAACAAACCGTCAGTTCTGCTGTTCTGCTCCCCTTCCACCTTCTGTCTTGTCAATGACTGACCACCAATGATTGAAAAACATCTACAACATAATGTAGTCGCACCTACACTCAGGTTTATGCCATGTGGACAACATCAGCTACAGTAATTTCCAGACTTGCTATGTACAAACAACACATGGCCTGAAGAGGTGAGTGGTAACGTCCTACTCAGTGGTTCAGATACCAAAGTTAATGAGCAAATCATATAGTATAAATACAGTAGCTACAGCTACAACAGTTAATCCACTAATGAACTGACAAAAAATTAATTATTTTGATCATCAATAATTTAGGTAATTTATCAAGAAAAAAAGCACCAAAATAATGTGAGTCAGCCCTACCTGTAATTATGTAAACCATTACTTCTCTACTCTCTCTTTTCCAATAAAAAATGTAAGTTTAATCATTTTAAACCTCATGAGTGCTTGTGTATTTTGCTTATACGAAGTCGAGAGGTTGCACTGTATCAATTAATCCTATGTTAGACAAAGAGCACTGTGTTTTAATCACAACCTCTACCAACCAGAGGAGGAACCAGTGTGTGATGAAATAAGAGCACATCTCAACCTGTAGGTTCTCACACACACAGTGTGTGTCCTTGCTACTAAAGAGGTCACCGTGATCATAAATGACTGCTGTGTTTCTTTCTCACTGGTCTTTAACATTTCCACAACAGTATCTAAGACTTGTGATTCTTTCTGTTGCATAAACTGACCTGTAACTGACTGAACATTCTCTCTGGCCCATTTTCCTCCACGGTGTCAGCTACTGTTGAACCCGTCATATCAAAAGAGATGCAGGATGCTCCTGACTCTGATATGTCCTCACCACCACTGCCACACTCCAGCCAAAGTGAAGAACCTCCACCCTACTCTGCAGCCCTAGAAATGGACCCTCCACCCAAGTCTGAGACAATTCCTCAGCCTGGCAGTGGCTATGAATCTTTGGCCGGCATAGGTGAACAAGATGCCACAGACACAACTTCCATTAAAACAACATGTCCTTTTGATGACAAGGCAGTGAGAAGAGGGTTTATTAGAAAGGTTGGTACTCTTGCATTCCAACTACTAGCTACTGACTTACTACTACTGATACATTTTTATCCAGAAATCATATTGTGAGTGCTGACAAACAGTCTCTGTGAAATATTGGTGTACTGGTAAACAGCATTTGGTGTGTTTAACCTTGTCATGAGTTCTGTACTATGAAACTTTATCCTATACAAAAATTCCCCAACCAGCAAAAAGAGTCGTGAAAATAGCTGTTTTCAGGGGTTAAGTCAAAACCGCAAATCATGAAAAGCACAAAATCACATAGATTCAAAATCATCATTTAAGCAAGAAGGTAGGGATTCAGTCTCGGTTTATGGTCAAGAACCTAAACCTAAATCTCCCAAACTATTAGACCATCCTCACTATTGCACCATGCAAATACTCTTTAGCATGAGTATTTGATCAAATCACTAATTGATATCAGCAGATGCAACTGAGGTACTGGCATCAGTATCTGGAGAGAATTGGTCAAGAAGGGTTTCCTGAGAGTAAACTCAGATCTTGTGCATGCTGGGAAGTACACTAGTCCTTTCCGGACTAATTAGTTTGATCAGCTTAGTTTGCTTAGGCATTAAAGCATATCCATAAAATTAAATTTTAAATTAAAATCAATGGTTTTTACCTTAGTGCCTTCAAATGTATGAAAATTTGAAAACATCACTGAGATATATTTGACAAAAGCAAATTAAGTTAATTCTGATGAAAACTCCTCTCCCTGTGCAGGTGTTCTGCATCCTCACTCTCCAGCTGCTGTTCACCTTCAGTGTGGTGTGTGTGTTCACCTTCTCCAGCGTGGTCAAAAAGGCTGTGCAGGAAAACCTGTGGGCCTATATCAGCTCCGTCATCATCTTCATGGTGGTGGCCATCACCCTCAGCTTTTTGAAGTCCTTCAGTCGCCGTCACCCATGGAACATTGTGGGACTGGTGGGTTTCCAATATAGGAGCATAACACCTCAAATGGCTAATGTGCATCTGAACTTGTAAGCAACAGACAATGATATTACCATTACACAACCCATATATTGAAGTAATATATTTAACTTCTATCACAGAATAAGCAAATTAAAAGAATGAGAGCTTTGCTGTTTGAAAGGAAAAATGCTGGATATGAAACAGTCACTGTACACAGTCACATCCTGGATAGAGAAGTGAAAATATATTAAGTATGTGTGCTGCCACCACAGATCAGTGTTGCTCAATTAACCCCCTTCAGGCGGTGGTCACCGTGAGCTTGTCGTACATGGTGGGAACCGTCGCCTCCTTCTATGACACCCGTTCTGTGATCATCACAATGGGAGCAACGTTGGCCATTACTGTCACGGTCATCGCTTTCTCAGCACAGGTTAGACAAACAATCTCAGTCAGGGAGCTCAATGTCCAATGTTTCCTATGTATATAATGTCAGCGTGTCTTTTTCAGTTACAGGCCCTATAAAAAAACCCTCTGGATTTAATTATTTGCAAATCCTATTAAATTCTGAGGTTGGAGTCTGAGTTGCAACACTATTATCATACAGTTTAACATTCAAAGGCTTTGTCACATCCTCATTTAATAAATATAAACATTAAATGCATGGTGGCATATCTTTGAAGGTGTCTCACAATGCTGGTGTGAAAGAACTAACTGTAAAGGATAAATATTTAAAGATAAACAATGAAACATATTTGTATTAAATGTTCATATTAGTTCTGTGTGGACATGTGCAACTGTTCGATATTATATATATTTTTCCAATGTATATTGACAATTACTTTTGTTTTTGTTCTTCACTATAAAGACTTTAGTTACACTGATTTAAAAAATGAAAAATGTGCTGTTTAATCATTATATGGACAAAAGGTATCAGCAGTGGAAGAAGTACTCGGATCCTTTACTTAAGTAAAAGTACAAAAGTATTAGCATCAAAACATACTTAAAGTACTAAAAGTAAAAGTACTCCTTAAGCAGAATGGCATATTTCTCATTTGTGTTTATCATATTATTGTATTGTAAATACTGATGCATTACTGTGTACATCATATTTAATGTTGCAGCTGGTAAAGGTGGCACTAGTTTTAACTACCTTATGTACATTTAATTTGAATTACGGTTGGGTAGCTTCTGAATTTTCCACCATAGATCGGTGAGGTCTTATAATTACACTGTATTTTTTGTATTAATCTGGTTCTGAAAAGTAACCAGTGATTAAAGTTATAAAATGAATGTAGTGGAGTAAAAAGTACAATATTTGGCTCTAAAATGTAATGAAGTCAAAGTACAAAGTCACAAAAAATGAAAATACTTAAGTACAGATACCTCAAAAGCGTATATTAAGTACAGTACTTGAGTAAATGTACTTAGTGACTTTCCACCACTGGAAAGTATTAATGAAATTAATTACTAATGTCTTTCTGTGCTATTTGCAGACTCGTTTTGATTTCACTATTTGTTATGGACTTCTGCTGATTCTGGCTGTGGACCTGATAATGTTTGGATTCTTCTCCATCTTCTACTACCACTACATCACTGACATCTGCTACGGATGTCTGGGAGCACTGCTGTATTCGCTAGTAAGGGAAATAAATATATACCATGATGGTACTGTAACATACTGTCTAAAGGGATGCACAGACATATATTACTTACATAGCACTTCCCCTTGCTATAAAGTAGAAGAAAATAACTTATATCACACATGTACTGTATTTCTGTTGTCACAAGTAACTACTGTAAATGTGCATCAGATATACTATATATACACATTTATGATTTTGAGAAATGAGCAAATTACCACGCCCTTGGGCTGGAGCTTTGATGTGTGGTCATCAGCAGTGTAAGGTGCAAGTTGTCCTGCTGTGGTAGCTTCAGTAGGCCACTGATGATAGTTAAACACAGTTGGTAAACACCAATCCACTACAGAGAAAAGGTCTAATTAGGCAAAATAAATGAAACCACTCTCTTGTTTACTCATTTATCTCTCTGTACTGTAATAGACACTCTGTAGTTTACTCTAAAGAGAGTACAGTAAACTGTACGTCATTTACTAGTAGCTGGTATTCATTTCTCACCCTGTCATACATCTTTTCCTCCTCTCCCTCCCTGTCTCAGTTCCTGATAATCGACTGTCAGCTGATGATGGGTATGATGAGTAACCGTGTGGATCCTGAGGAATACATCAACGCTGCTCTCCTGATCTACCTGGATGTAGTCCTCATCTTCCTCTACCTGCTGGGGAGGAGCTGAAACTGTACCGACAAAATACTCACACAACATACGCAGACAGAAACAGACACTCCAAACTGTACCCACAAAATAATGTCTTTTATTATGATGAATGAATAATTATCAGTGTTTTTTCCAGTTTTTTGTCTTCGTCTCAGTTTTATATAAATAAAAGAAACATTTTGAACAGAAAGTTGTTTGAGATAAAAACATCAATTCAATTGCTATTTTTTTGCCATTAATGAGACACATTCATAAAACACTGGCATATATTCAATATAAATGAATACCGGTATATAATAAATAAAGGAGTTCCAAGTCATTAGGACACTGATAATCCAGTAGATCCATAAGGCAATTTGTGTTAAATACAGCAACTTCCATATGCAACATGCAATATTGCTTATAAAAACAGCTTTATATTGATAGAAATAGTATTAAATGTTCTCAATTTTTCTTCATATCACACGGATTCATCCTCAACCTTTAGTGTCACCAAAACTTCAGCAGCGATACAATCAACTTGTGGTCCCATTCTACTAATCAAGAAATATTCCAAAATTTAACTCACACAGTCCAACACCATTTTCTACCATATTAATAAAGAAGACTGTGATGTTATCTAACTAGAGAAAACTGTTTTGTATTATTTCCTCACGTCACTGTAAGGCTGCACCTAACAATTATCTGTTATCAATTAATCTGTTAGCTGTTTTCTTGATTAACCCATTGATCAGTTTGTCTATAAAATGTCAGAAAATAGTGAAAATGCCAGTTATAATTCTGCACAGCCCAAGGTAATATTTTAAAATTGCTTGTTTTATTTGACCAACTGTTCAAAACTTGAAGATATCCAATTTAATATCAGATATAACAAAAGGCAAAAACATGCTTGAAAAATGAATACTGAATAATTTCCTACTAAAATAAATGCCAATTAATTTTGTGCAGATCAACTAATAGATTAATTGTTCAGCTCTACATCAACGGGAGAGTACACGAACATCAAGAACAAGTGAGTGATATATCATCTGTGCTCTGTGGAGAGGAAATCCCCAGCTTTTATGGAACCTCACCACAGTGAAGTGTAGTCAAACTGGATCTGCAGCAGGTATCTCATACGAGTCTGGGCAGGGTTATAAACAATAAACTCATTGTAGAGAAGAGAGTAGCCGGTGTTTTTACCCAACCCTGTCTTCACCCCAGGCCCCATCGGCACAATGACACCATCCCTGGGAAAGAGAGATGGAAAGACAGAGACTGTAACTGACCAACTTCCCTTTCAGATAACTTCAGGATTTCTGTTATGAAACAGTTGAGCAGAATTAAACAAATGTCTGGCCTGTATGAAATGTATCTGTATAATGAGACAGACTAACAGAGTCACAGAGTTTTTGGGGTCAGGTGCGGTCTGTCCCAGGCCCTTGGTACTGTGTTTTCCAGCAGGCAGATTGTTGGCCTCGTAGTCGGCATCCAGCAGTTCATTGCAGTCTCCCAGAGCGACCTGCAATGACACGTAGACTGACACATCTGGACCAGAGTGGTAATGCGGCATTCAAATCATGTTGGATTTACTGACGCGTGGACTTGTATTCACAGGTCCTAAAATTCCAAAATAAGCAACACACACAGGTTTGTCTGGTCTTCTTTTTTCTTTTTCTTTTTTTGGGGTTTCAGTCTGCTTGACCATCAACTATGAGTATCACAACAGTATAGATAGATGGGTGACAAATGAAAGGAAGAACCTGAATAAATGCGTGGTCTCTTCACAGATGACAGTGGCCCCACCCACAGGGCACGAGGGGTCACTCTTAAGTTTGATGAGTGTGAAAATTACGTGTCAGTCACCAGATATCAGCCAAGGTGACAACCTATGGGAGGTTTTGGACTAACGTGTTAGACAGTGTCTCTACCACCATCATCAAAACACCACATGAGGGAATATCTTTTGGAAGAATGGTGTTCATCCCTCCAGCAGATTTCAGAGGCTTGTAGAGTTGTTTACAAGGTGCACTGAAGCTGTTCTGGTGGCACATGGTGGCCCAACACCTCACTGAGACACTTTATGTTGGTTTTTCCTTTCATTTGTCACCGGTCTGTACATAAAAATCAATATAGAAATGTTCAGAGAATCACAAAAGTGAGTTCAAATGGTGAAACACCAGAAACACTGCTACCCAGTTAATTTATGAAGGAAGGTAGGTTTCTTCTTTAAACCATCCAAATATTAAAGAACAGAAAAGAACAAGAAATGACAAAGGTAAATATGGGCAAAAGTGCCAATGGTCATCATAAATTTCACATTCTATCATACATAAAGCATTTATGCGTTTGATACACAACACATTCAGGGGGTGCAGAAAAGTATTTTACTTTTTTTACTCACCTCACACAATAATAAGAGTCCAACAGTATTGTGCTGACTGGAAAAGCAGTAGTTGGCACTCTTTGATGACATGTCAGCAAAGTAGATGCCTTTACCAAACTAGATAAAAGAGAAACAGGGAAATCATCATCACTGGAACACTGCTGTGTAATTTTTCATTATTTGCTACTTTACATTTTTTTTAAGCAGCGGACTTGGTTTTTAAGACAAACAAAAAATAATCAATTACAAAACAGTATATGAATATGTTTTTTGTCCATCCTAAATACCATGTAGCCAGTGGTGGGAGCTTCAGGTGGGGCCACTCTGAGCCCCCGACTGAGGATGCCAGCCCAGTTAGACAGACGGGAACCATGCCACAGCAGAGTCCTGGCAGACAGACACACACAGTGACACACACAGTTCATTGTCAAGTAAAAACTATTTTCAATGGTAGATTTTATACAATCAAATATGGACCTTAAAGCACCTCTACCTAATTTCCTTTCAGCCTAAAGAGTGTAGTGAGATTAAAAACAAACTGACACCATAAGACATTTTTCTCCCTCCCATCATGTCCTGTTTCCTAGCGATAATGTAAACTGGTTGTGACAAACTGTACAAAATTAATTCAATACAAAGGTAAAATCATGACCATGTTAGGTCACTAATGTTACCAAAACACATGTTAGCCTTAGGATGCTAACACAGCCAGAAGGGCCTAACTAAGCAGACTACAAATATTCCACCAAAAAACCCGACATCTAAAATACATAAACCAATAATGGCATGAATCCTGTGATACCTGTTGTGTAAATGTGAGAGGAAGTTCCTGCTCTCCCCATCTCTGTCCACTGAGAAGATTTCAAGGACGGTCATGGTATAGTCACGATGGGTGGGGGCGTGAGTGGACTGCAGATACTTTTCTATTACCTTGAACACACAGAGATGACAGGAGAGTTTACACCAGCTTCACAGAGTACCTTCAGGTTACTGCAGCTTAGGTTTCATTTAGTTTACTACTTTAGCTTATACATTTTCTCTGAATGTGCTTCTTTCAATGAAAGTACTATAGAAATATAAAGAAAGTATATTTGTAACCAATTCCTTTATGAAATGCCTGCAGTGCATTCTGGTTCAGAACAGCAGCATAGCAGCTAATACAACAATAATGAATAGTAAGAGACAGACCTTGAACTCGTTGCTGCTGGGGTCCAGAGGCTGCAGTTTACACTGGAGGGAGCGGTACTGTCTGTCCAGAGGATGCTCGTCACTGTCTTCACCGGACTGGACCATTTTCACCACAATACGGATGTCACTCAACGCCTGAGCAAGGACACACAGACAGACAGAAATTCCATATACATATTGAACAATATGTAACACAAGGTCAAATAGAGACCAAACCAGAATAACTGCAGACCAAGCTGAAACACATCTCAGTTACTTCAGAAACACTTTACCTCCAACAGCGTAATTTTTTCCTTCAGCTCATCCTCTGTGCGGATGACTGGGGGAGTCTTCAACCTGGAGAATTACATCTTTTAGTTACAGTGAAACGCAGACCAATGTGAAACACTTGCTTGTCACCATTCAGGCATCAATTATCCAGTAACACTTAAACATGCTTTGTACATCCCACCCAAAGTCATGTGGGATACGAGTGTAGAACTGGTTGCAGGCCTCCAGCAGCTCACGGTTACTGTCCTTCTTCTTCAAACACGACTCGATTTTCTTCAGTGCAGTGTAGCCTGCACGGATCTGCTCTGAAGTCAGTTTGCCTTTAGGTAGAAAGAAAAATACAGTACTTGAAATTTGACACACAGCAAAATGTCTGATCACTTGTTTTTCACCAGCTGAATCTGCTCATACTGTATAGTCAGATGGACAACTGGACCAAAGAGGATTACCTGGAAAATGTATTTTCCTGCATTTTTGACTCAAATTGTAGAATCTTGAATTTTTTTTAAAGCTGTATGCTCTCTGAATAAAATCAAAGCAGTGTGTAAAATCTAGAAGGATTTATTAGCAGAAATGGGCTATATTAGGCATAATTGTGTTTGCATTAAAATGTAATCACCACAAAATAAAAATCGTTGCATTTTCTTTCATTTAGAATGAGTCTTTTATATCTACATAGATCCCCCATCATGAAGGCCACCATGTTGAACTGCCATGTATTTTACAGTAGCCCCAAAGAGACAAAACATATGCTGGCTCTAGAGCGTATTTTGTGTTTTCACATTGTTGAAGCAGCAGGTTCAATTTGGAGACAAGTAACATCAGAATCTCACACACTGCGAGCTTAGAATGTAATTCTAGTACACTTTGTTGTGGTTTTGATTCTGTCACACTGACCCAGAGGAGCTTTCCGTGTGTCAAACTTCATCTCCAGCACACACTCCTCCATGGCTTTGAGGTCACAGATGAGCTCCAGGAGTGACTGGATCTTCACATCCAGCTTAGAGGTCTTCTTCTTGGGTGTAGTATCTGTTGTGGTCTGGTTCTCCTCCTTGAACAGTGAAATGCAACTACTGTAGTGAATGTACATAACAGACTCTATCTTTAATTCAAAGGAATCTCCAGTTTCTGAATTGTCCTAATGAAAAAGATACTGAGAATATACATACATTGTTGGTTCTTTGCCCTTAAATGTACCTTTTCCTTGGTGCTGTAATCCATGAACACCAGGTCATATTTTCCAGCCACTTTCTCAAAACTTGCCCGTTGTTCCCACTCATTCTTAGTCTTGTCAAAGAACCTGTGGCAAAATACACATGTTTAAATCTTCATTGAAACCACCTCCTTGTGAGACATCTGGCACTAATTTTTTCAAATGCCTGATCTCACTTTTTCTTGAAGATTTCTTTGGCTTTCAGCAGATCTCCACCACAAGCTGTAAGGCTGTTCTGACCCACTTTGCCCACTGATAAAAACAAAGGACAGACCCCCCCCACCAAATACAATCATTAAATGATGCACATTTATCAGTCAGTTTAGGCTTCAGAAAGCTAACTTGTATTAACTTTCTGTGTAAATACAAACATTTATATACATCAAGTATGCAAAGAATCATCAGTAAACTCACCTCTGCCCCATCTCATCCACACAGTGTAGACCTTGGAGCTGTCGTCTTCCAGTAGTTGGATCAGGTAGTATTTATTGTTGTTAAACTGAAGGTTTGTCTGCAAAATAAAACAGGTGTTTGCTAGAAGCCTATACATTTATTTACTTTGTCACAAATGAAAATGGAAGATCAAAATACTATCCATAGGAAAATTTTAAAACCTTTATACTCTATTTTTGTTTTTCACTTACAAAACAGTTTAAAAGCTGCATTAATCGCTGTGAAGAAGCACACATCACACGTTCACATCGCTGTTTAGGTGAAAATCGTCAAAACTTTGTACAATACAAGAAGCAAAGTACAATACATGTTGTTCTAAAATTATCAGTATTAACTGTGGTGAATCATTTTAGCCAGTACTATTCAATCTGAGAAAACCTCAGATTTTGACTTCCAGCTTTGAGTGTAAGACCCCCTCCCACCCCCCAAAAAACATTTTAGAATATCTTTTTGAATTAATTTGTCAGATCCTTCTGAGCTAGCTAGTAACTAAATATAAGATCTTTTACCTGGTTTAACATCACATCATAAATGTCGTTTCCTTCACTGTAAACATGAGCCTAAAAGAGAAATTACACAATTAGCTCTATGAATGAAGCTTACTGCACCTGATCTGCATCAAGTAACATAAAATGCACATTTTGCCTGTAAATTTCTTATTTCCTGTCTTTGTGTTTTACTTGTTGTTATGTGGATTAAGATAACAATAATTTGGGAAAGCAGTCATACAAAAAAAAAAAACAAAAAAAACACAGCTAACAAAATCTATTTTCACAGATTAAAAACCAGAACATTACAAGAGAAATGGTGAAAATGTTCAGAGAAATGACTGTTTTTATGGCTTTTCAATATTGATTAATCTTTCAATTATTTATTTTGTATGAAATATTTTAAAAAAGACTGAAAACAAACAAACAAACTCAGGCACCACAACTTCGCAGAGCAAAGTCTTGAAATAGCTTTGGTTTGTTTTGTTGGTCAAATCAGTCAAACCTTATCATATATTACAAAAACAAGAACTAATCCTCAGAAATGAGAACCTGGAAAAACCAAACATTAGGTATTTTAGCATAAAAAATATCAAAATAGTTCATCTTCTTTTAAGCACCAAATCGATTAACTGACACTTGCTGCAGCTCAGATTTTTTTGTGTCCAAGAGCAATTAAGACCATTTTTTTCTCTTGAATTTTTGTTGCACAACATTTCCAATAATTAAACTTATATTTTGTAAGATGTTGCTCTTGGCAAAACAATCATTTAAAAGATTTAAACTGTAAGCTAATCAAAATTAATCAGAACAGGAGCACACTCATATCACAAGAGGAACTGTAACTGGAGCAAGGCTTTGCAAAAACCTTCTAACAGGTGTCAAACCACAGTCAGGACCGATGTTGCTCATGAATTTCATTTCTGATATGGACAGAAAAACCGTACCTTTCCAAGTTTGGCTTTGCATTCAGAGTCCACCGGAGCTTTGCCCTTCATGACCACTGTCCTCACAACCTCTGTCCAGCATCCACAGGTCAAAACAAAACATTATGAGGTCAACTGACAACAAACATTAGGCTCAGGTAATTGCAGCTTCTGTTAACCGGCATAAAGTTAGCATATTCATGCCCAATTCTTCCACTGTTGTAAAATCCTGCTTCACTTTGTAATTGTATTGCATAGAAAACATATATGTGAGTTATATCCACATTACCTTCACTTTTCATTTCTTCCAGTGGCATTTCCTCAGCTTTTGTCTGACTCTTGCTTTGCCCTCTCCTCCTTTTAGGTGCAGGCTGCTCTTCCGTCTCCTCCTCTTCCTCTTTAACTTGAACTGACGTCCCATTTTGAGCAGTCGAGTCACTGGTGTCATCCAAACTTTCTGAACAAAAGAGGAAAACAGAAGAAACATTTTAAATACATTTTACAATATATCTGCAAATGTATAACAGAACAATATGAATTCAAACTAATACAACTACAAATGACAGATTCATAAAGTGAAAACAGTTACAAAGTGTAAGCGGAAGAAATTTTAACAGTTAAGAAACCTGAGACATTTAAAACAGGGCAGTGATAATATTTTTACAAGTTGGATTTGTTGACTAAAGGAAACTAAGAAAACGCAGCACAACAAACTTATTAGTAATAAACATAAAATAAAAATCCAAACCGAGGGGATGACAGAAATTAAATTGTAATACTTTAAAATAACCTATTCCAAATAAAAATGTCCAACTAATACAGTATAACACATGACACACACATACACACCTGGTTTCACTATCTGAGAGCGAATCTTTCGCTTATACTTTGTGACAGGGTTAATCTGGACCATCTTCTTCAGGTCAACTTCATAGGCTGCCCCAGAGCCCAGAGTAAGAGTGACAGTGGTTTTTCCTGAAGACACAGCTGAGTCCAACAAGGCAGGAGGCGGCCTCCCACTGTCTTTTATCTCCCTTCCACTGCCACACTGATCATCCAGAAACAAAGCAGAAGTTGTTTATAGTGTTTCAGATTCGCGGAGCCAATCCCGGCCGGCAATCGGGCGAAGGCGGGGTACACCCTGGACAGGTCGCCAATCCATCGCAGGGCTAACACATAGACGAACAACCACATACACACACTCCTATTGGCAATTTAGAGACACCAATCAACCTAAGCTGCATGTCTTTGGACTGTGGAACACAGAAAGGTCCCAGGTGGGGCCAGAACGCGGAACCTTCGCGCTGTGAGGCAACGGCGCTAACCACTGTGCCACAGTGCTGCCCCCTTACAAGCATTACAACAGTAAATGCTGCAGAGACCATAAATAACGTTACATAATATTAATTTTCCTACTCTCCTCTGTCCAGACACAACTGACGTAGGTTAACGTTAGTTTCAGCAGCTGTTAGCTATCCTCTAACGATAAAGCTAACATTTCAGCAGTTACCCTCTAACGTTAAAGCTAACATTTCAGCAGTAAACAAACCTGTTTTTAACGGGGCTTCTTCATTTTCTGTTACACTCTGACTTTTATTTCTCGAACCTCTTGCTCGCCTCATGGTGATTTACGAAAAGTTTATTAGATTGTATTTACAGTAATAAAGGGGCCGTGGTGACAACAACCACAATGCTAATCTTCTCTTACTACCGCTTCCTAGTTGCTGACTCCAAAGATCGTCTGGAATGAGGATTAACCACTTCGTGCTCTATTTTCTCTTCAACAAGTGCGCAGGCATATACGATTCCACATTAATACATCTGTGCATAGACATTACAGTTATCGACAACCCTGAACTATAGTTAAGGATTACAGTTCAAAGTTCGTCTCAAATACTCTAAATTTACCCATGGGACTCTGTGCTTGAGTATAAGCACAGAGTGGGCACTCTTATACGTACCCGTATGGGGGAACAGAACATCGGAGACCTAAGGTTCCGACTTGCTCATTGGTCGGAATTATTTTTTTGCAGGATATGTGGAAATAACGTGTTCATCAAGGTGTTGAGGTTAACAATGATTTTTTTGAATACCGTTCGTTCACCGAAGAAATGACATCACGAAGTTGTAGTGCCCGCGTCCTCTGTCAGCGGGCGGTTATCGTGAAGATAATGTGCAGGGTGAGTGCAGTTTGTGGGTGTCTGACAGATAAACTGGTAAAAACAGGACTCAGTTAAATAACTAGAATTGCCGCTTCGCGGTTGTATGCCTCAACCAGTCAGATTCACTGGTATGGGACAGAAGTGAGGTTACTGACCTTGACATTTGACCATCAAAATCCAATTAGTTCATATTTGAGTCCACGTGGAAACTTCAGCCAGAAACTCCCTCAAGGCGTTCCTGGGATAATGTGTTTCACAAGAAGGGGCCGTACGGACGGACAACCTGAAAACATAAATAAAAAGGTTTATTTATGTTCACATCTTAGATTAATACGATTAAACCTGATAATCATATCAATTTGTTTATCATCTTTTGTCATTGTGTGAACTAGCAGTGTCATCTTTTTTAGCCCATTTGCCTTTTTCTATTTGTGTTACCTTGAGTGTTACCTACTCTTTGACTTGGAAATATAGGTGACCCGAGAACTTGGCACAAATCTCCTAAGTCTTTCAGTTATTAAGATATTGAGTTATTGGGTTTTTCTATATTCGTATTCATGCTGGTTAAGAAACATTTTTAATTTTTTTCCTCAGGGAATGAGTGCAGCTGCACACCCACAGTCTCAGATAGATTTCCTAAAAGGAGAACCTCACAGGAAGCACCCAGGGGTGACCAAACTGAAAATGCTGCACCTTCCTGAGAAGCTCCAGATTGCTGCACAGTCGATTATTAACAGTAGGTTTAGTTATGATTGTGCTATCATTTGATATACCTAATATTTCTGTAGCTTTACTGGTCTGAAATAAATTCATAAAGCTATATGGTGCTTAAATCTCTTCACCTGTAGGAGCTCATGTATCTCAGCTGACTGACCGCACATGCAAGCTCACTAACTACCTGTGGAGCAGAAAGCGAGCAGTTGAGGATGTGACACTGAGACAGAAAGCTGTTAGCCTGGAGAAGGAACTTTGGGAGAAAGCAATGGAGAAAAGAGGAGGTAGGTGACATACCTTATAGGGTACAGGTGTATTATATTATATCATGCACCAGCTGGAGAAATGGATGTGCTTTATATTACAGATATGGATGAGCAAGCACTGGAAGATCGCATCAGGAAGAAAGTGTTTTCCATGCTTAAAAGAACTACATATCACTGGACTCCAATGAAGTAACATTTGCTTTTTCCTACAAATTGGATTTTTTAAAGTTATGAGTGGATTCAGAATTATTCTCAGTTAATTCCAAAGCTTGCTTTACCTAACTGATGTCAAGATATACTGTAGGTTTGAAATTCTGACCATTATTTAAGACTTTAAACTTTTTAGCCTCACGTTTGCTGGACATCATTTTATTTATCATAATGACACTTAATTTCAGTGCATAAGAATGTAACGTGGAAAATGGACTATATAGCACCTTTCTTTTTACTCAAAGCGCTTGAGTGCAATAAATCAGGCTTTGAACGACAGGGTTTCAACAGTGAATCCCTGCAGGATACATTTTATAGCTTGTACCTGGTGATTTCTCCTGTTTGAGCCTGAGATATAGATGAGTTTATATACAGCTCAGTGTCTATGTTTCAGATATGATGAAGAGTTGGGTGTGGTGTATATGGCGGCCCGGCTGGCTGGGGGCTACGCGGCAGTGAGGAGAGCTCTAAATGAGGTGTGATGAGAGGTTAACTCACATGACAATACCAAAGATTTCTTTAAATAGTAAAAGCATTGGTTCACCCAGAAACAACATATTTTTACACTTACTGCAGTAAAACATGGAAAAACAACAAAGTAAATGTCGTGATTACTGAGAGGGATCCAAGTTTTGCCTTTATCTGTTCTAAGTGATGTTTTCTTTTCTATCATTTCAGATAAAGAAGAGGGATCCCTCTTTTGCCCCTCAGTCTCTCCTGGATTTTGGTTCAGGGCTGGGAACAGTTGCCTGGTTGGTGGACACTGGTGTAACACTAAGAGAATTTTTGTTTCTATTACAAGACTCTAATTTCAGTCTTCTCTGTCTCCTCCAGGGCGTCACACTCATGCTGGAGTGACACTTTGAAAGAGATGATATGTGTGGACAGCTCTGGGCCAATGAACATTCTGGCAGAGCGGCTCCTCAAAGGTGTGCACACAGACATTTAATTCATTTAGATTTGTTCAATTTTTGCTTTGGGCTTTCATCAAATAGTTCATCAGAGAATCAAAGCATTTTTGTTTCTTGTTGAGCAGGTGATGATGAAAGAGCTGATCCTCAGATCAAACACGTCTATTTCAGGCAGTTCCTCCCTGTCTCTCCTAAGGTGAGGCCCTCTTTGTTTTTATTTCAGCAATAGAAAAAGAGATTCTTAAAAATATATATTTTAGCTTTCAATTTTGAGTTTGAAGAAATATGAAATCAAATTCTTTCTGCATATATGACAGAAAATAAGCATTTCTAAAACTAAAGTGAAGTGAGACATGCAAATAGATTTTTGTTTTCTCATCATGATGCATGAATAATGCATATGCAGTCAGTACTATACCCATGCATGTGAATAATATACAGCAGTTGGAAGGACCAGATTATTAACTGCCTTGTTTTAAGATATTGTTTTGTCTATTTCTGATGATGCAGTGGTCATCTTTATTGACAAAAATCCTCAAACACACAATTACATTTTTACATTTCCACCAGCATTCTTAATTATTAATTTCTTCTTAACAAAAAGGAGAAAAACTAGGTAGCTGGTATGAGCAGTGTTAGCTTAGGTCACTTAACAAAACAGGGAAAGAAATAAATTCAAATACTATATCAAGAACCATATCTACAGGTTCTGTTCACACCACTGGGCTTAAAAACACGCTAAAATTAGGAGCAGATTTAGGCTTCCCTTTGTTACATTAGTTCTATGCTTGTCCTATAAAGCTGAAGGATAAGGAGCCTTGACACTGCCGTGTTTCTCCTTTCAGGTGCAGTTCGACTTGGTGGTCGCAGCCTTCACTCTGTCGGAGCTTCCCACTGCGAAGGAGCGAGAAGAGGCCGTGTTCACTCTGTGGAGGAAGACAAGCTCATACCTGGTTGGTTCAAATAATGATAAGACTTCACCTACTGATGACGTCAGCATGGTCTTTTGGACCATGTGCAATGTCCACTTGACCATGCATCTTTAGTTAATGCTAGATTTGGCATATTTTGTGTATAAATTATTTTTAGAACTATTTTGGTATCTAGAAGTCGTGATTTATGTTATATATTTTTCTTGGTGTAGGTGCTGGTGGAAAATGGGACCAAAGAGGGCCATCAGATACTTATGGAAGCCAGAGACACCTTATTAAATGTATTCAAATACAGTAGATAAGAGAGCATTTGTTTCTTGTTTGGTAAGTGGATGTGATTTGTCACAGTTTCCATTTCTCTGTCTCCAGAAACAAGAGAAGACCGTATATGACTCCAGACCTGCCTCAGTGTTTGCTCCGGTATGTTGTAATCCCAGCTGGTTTCAAACTGTCATCCCATGCTTTTTACCAGCGTTGTCACAGCTCTGTTGCATCTTCTCTTTGGTGTTTGGCTTTTCTAGTGCCCTCATCTAATGGTTTGTCCTAAACTAGCCCGGGAACCCGTCGTGCCCTGCAACTTCCAGCAGCTGTACTACCCTCTGCCTCTGCCCGGGGTGAGATTGAATTTTTCAGAAGTCAGACATCAGTTAGTCAAGTTTGAAAGTTTATTGTTGACCTTGGAAATATTAGAATTACAAAAAAAACAGCCCATTTACACACTTTTTCAGTTTCAGCTGATTTAATTGCAGAAAAAACTAAGCAGATCTTAAATGAAGATTCTTGTGCCATGTCAGTCAGTTTGATTTTTTTTTTTTTTAAGATGATTTGATGTCATTCCTCGTGTGTTTGTACTTTAAAACTTGTCTAATAATCATTTAGGTATAGATTTGTTTGCTCTGCCATGTTATCTTTGCTGCTTGTTCTCCTGTGTAAAACACACCATTTACTTTCCACAAAGATTAAACTAATTACAGTTGTTATAATACTGTATATATGATGGTGATATAATGAAAATGTTCATTTCTACCTAAAAACAGAATAAGGATCAGTGACACCATATCAACTTTGTTTTCTCAGCACAATGACCGTCAGATAGAGAAGTTCAGCTACCTGATTGTGACTCGGACGGAACCGACACAGACCGACACAGAAGGCGTGGACTGGGCCAGGCTGATTGCACCGGTGAAGTGCAGAACCAGACATGTCCATTGTCAGATGTGCTGCCCTGACGGACAGATACAACACATGGTGGTGACAGCACAAAAACACAGCAGGTAATGGTCCTGCATCACATACTGTATACAGTCAAACTCATCAGCAGCAGGACCAGTTGCTCGTTTCTCACTGGGATTCACACACCAAAGTCTGATCTAGATCCAAGTAAGGTTCTGGCTCTGCTGGTCCACAATGTTCAAATTTACAGGGCTCATGGAAAACTTACTACTGTGATGCAACAAATTATGATACAGACTTACAAGTAAGATCAAATTGTAGCTGAAACTCTGCTGCTTTGGTAGGGTGTGTGAACAGATTTGACATATCCTCAAAAGTTACTGAGCTATATCCTGAAGAAAACTGCCATTAGTGAAGTTTTTCTTGAATAACTTTCAAATGAATACTGATATCAGTGCAAATCCAAATGCTAGAGGGAGGTTGTCATGGCCAAGGACCCATAGTATGAGGGTCAAACTGTAATTCATGAAGTCAAATCATGAGCATGTCAGGCAGTATTTCAGAAAAGGGGAGGTAGATTTTAACCTGCATTTGTCATGTGGGTGGTGTCTCACACCCAGTCCAGTCTACACAAACATCTGTCAGTTATGCTACATTATTTCTGAACACAGCAGACATGCAAAATGTTTCCCTAAATAAATGGTTTGAAATTGGCTAAATTTAGTTTAACCAACAATGACATTTTATTAGATTTTTGTTTGGCATACTCTGTCATGGACACACAGGTTGGTCACAACATTTTGTTTTGTTGTCTAGCTTTACATTGTCTGATTCTGGCTTCCCTCAGAGATGTGTACCGCTGTGCTCGGAACAGTGACTGGGGAGATCAACTGCCTGTCATTCAGAAAATCGAGGATGATGTTCATGGTGATAATTCACACTAACCCTGAGATAAGGCTGTTGTCCAGAGACCCATCAGTTGTTGGTTACATATAACAGCTGTGTCTTCTTATGGGAACTGCTATATTACTTACAATAACTGTTGTGTGGGTTTCAAGATTACTTCAATAAAAAGTCATTGTTCATTCCCTCTGTAGTTCACCAAGCTTTAATGTGCACCACCTTCAACAAACCATAAACCACATAAGTAAAAAGCACACTGCAATTTTGGACCTTATTGTGAACTGTAACAGGTCCTAAAACCCAGAAAAAACACTGATCTTTCTCAGAGATGCACAGTGTGGGATTTGTTGCCATGTATCACACATTAAATATGAAGACATGATTATATACAATTTTTGGTTCCACATTTTTCCAAAATCAGTTGATTCCAACAATCTCCTTCAGGGCTGAGGTCAGGTCTGGGTACTTGTACTGAAATCCAGCTTCCAGAGTCCTCTTTGGTATGACTTTCTGGCCCTGGGTGAGCACCATGGCCCTCTCACTGCCCATTAGAGCATTCAGGACAAAGACCGGCACAGGACAAATGGTGGGCCGCCTCAGGACATGGCCCAGTTCTTTAGTGAACTCATAGTTGGTGTTCAAAGCAGGCGCGACTCCATTAAAGACTAGTGGTGGAAGGGGGGGAGTGTCAGTCTGGGACCCCAGGCTGTGGGTGATGAGTCCTGCCAGGTCTGAGACATGGATCCAGGGGAATGGCTGTGTCCCAGAGCCCAGAGTGCCCCCGAGGCCGAGCCAAAAGGCCGGTAGCATCTGCTTCATGGCACCACCGTCACGACCCAGTACTACCCCTGGTGGAGGGAGAGTGGAATAATGGAGTGTGAAAATAGGTATTGTCTTTTTTTGTTGTTGTTGTCTCAGTTCCAAATCAAGTGTAGCAGTTTATTTCCTCTCTTCATTTAACTCAATTTTTGTACATAGTTTGATGGTTTTGGTTTCCTCTTTTTGGCAGGATAAAGTCACCCTCTACTGTATGTATGTACTGATCAGTACAGTCTTGTGACTTTACAGGAAACACTGATAAAACATATTTGCTGTGCTTTTGATTAGAATACTAGGAAGTTGCATTTACTGAAATAATTACTATTACTACATTTATCAGGTGATGGGTAACCTTGGGGGAGACAACAAAGACAGGAGGAGGGATGATAAAGTACAAGAGCAGGAAAAGCTAATTACTTTAACCTTTGTTGTATTGGTGCCAAGTCTGTTCTTTTCTCCTTTATTCTCAGAACCTTGTGACAAATGAAATGCTTCCATGTCCGTCCATTCTCAAGAAAAGTCATCTTTAATACCATAAACATGGGGCTATGCTTGCCAGACTTGAAACAAAATATCAGATCATAATATTTTTAATAATACATTTTCGTTTGTGCTGTATGCCATAGAAAACTGTGCCTAGTTGGATTCATGTAGTATCAAACCCATGACGCCCAAGTGGAACTACAGAAGTGTCACACTAATCACCAGGTATCACTGCAGGTATACCAAAAGAAGACTGTGGTGTTGAAGACAAAAGTAGTGACTTTAATATATCTGATACTCATATAGCAGTGAGTAAGCACTTTATTCAGATACAAGTTTTGCTCACATTTTATCCAGTCTTCTCCTCATTGTCCTTAAGGGTAAACCATCACACACTGACCCGTTTGGTAAACACGAGCAGACTGTGTGTGATGACTGGGCTTTTAGGTTAGATTTTGTACCTTGAAATGCTGGGACAGTCTCTTGTGAAAGTTAAAGTGAAATATGCACTTTGTACATACCGGACCTGACGACAACTTGTTTGGTGCTTTTTGCCACATCCTCAGGCAGAAGTGCTGCAGCCTCCCACTCTTTCACGAGGGTGGAGAAGAGGTCAAATGGTGTCCAGTCACTGTCTTCTGTATACTCAGCTGTCAGACTGCACTTGTAACAAGCTTTTGGTCAAGAAGAAGAACTAATGTACTGCAATAAATTGTACTGTGTATATCATTAAAAAAAAAAAACTTTGACAGAGTTCAACCCAATATACAGTATAGTTAAATCTTTCCAAACCATCAACTCAGTTTTAACAATCCAGCATCAGTCATCAGTCAGGTTCTATTTGACAGAAACATACCTACACCTGTTACCAGCACCCAGGAATGAGGAGGACTGGGGGAAGCAGCAATGGCCTGAGCTAGAGTTTTTGTAGTGTCAATGCGACTGGAGAACAAATCATTGACGTAGCTTTTGTTCCACCTGAAACAACAAATAAAATGGAAAATAGAGACCTAGCTTAAAACAGCTGGGACATCACCTATAATAGCACGATTCATTCTGTACAGAAATTATACTATTAATCGCCCACTATCATTTCAACCATTCTGTGTTAGTTACTGACAAGTTCAAAGCTGTGATTAACAATAGATAAACAATGGCTGTCTCTATTTCAGAGCTGCAACAATTAATTAATTTATCGATTCCCTTTCCACTACCAGCCTTGAGTCAGATTGTAAAACATTTGGATTTTGAGCCATTAGAAAGATAAACTAAGTGAAGAGGTTACCTTAGACTCTGGGACATTAAAGTGGGTAATTTTCACAATTTTGACATTGTATAGACATGAAGATTAATTGAGAAAACCTGCAGAATCATTGTTAAAAGGAAAAAAACTGTCCAGTTTTAAGCCTTGTTTATTTCTTGCTCACCATCGCAGTGGGTTCATGAGATTCTCTCCAGCCAAGTTGACGGCACCCTCACATGGTGGGAGGCCACGAGACTTCAACTCATCCTGCAGGAGCCCAGAGGAGGCAAAGTACAGGAGTTTATTTAAGACACTCTATATGGAGACAAGTACAGATATCTTAAATGCTGCTGAAAATTGAAATAAATTTTATATGAACAAAGTATAGCTGTAGATGTGGGGGTGGGCAGTTACTGCAATCTTATGGATTGGGACATTAAACTGCCCCTCTTTCCTCTAGTGTTACTGTTTCTCTGTAGTAATCTGAGAACATACCCATGTTATCTTCTCTGGACCAGGCTGGCGAGATATCACTGTGACCTTGTGACCTTTGTGTCTGAGAAGGCGAGTCAGCTCACGGCCCACAAAGCCAGCCCCCCCTCCTATAAAGGAAACAGTAGAGAAATGCACAGATAGGAGAACCAAAGAGCCATAGAGAATCCATCACTTAGGCCTACCAATTATAAAGGTTACATTTGCCATAATTTCATTAATATACATTCTCAATTATGCTACATTCAGAGTGTTCAACAAATTAAATTTAAAGCTGTCCAAGACCTTTAAAGTACTGCATACAATGCAATTTATTACATGTTCAGTCATACTGGCTGAAGAATGAACAAAGCATAAGGCTAAAAAAAATCACAAAACAACCACAAAGAAATACTAAACTATCCCAAAGGCAATGAAAACAACCAAAGAGATGGAAAACAATACAGTCTGGGGTCCTCTTTAGGGGGACAGTGAGTCCTTTTCTGTCTCAAAATCTGTCTATGCCTGCACGGCTTCAAACACAAGTAATCTGTTCATTTATTTTTTTCTAAAGTCCATACTTTCCACTGCACACACATAGCCTATGAGTTGATGAGCAAAGTTATAACAACAACAGTTAAACAGTTTAAGTTACTGGGCAAAAGGTAAGAAAAAAATCAGTCTTTGTAAGTGAAATGCAAGACTTTTGACATGGACCTTCTTCTCGGGAGGAGGTAGAGGTAACTGGTTCAGGGTTTGGGTAAAGAGAAGCAGACTCATATACCCCAAAATCTACCGCCGAGTCTTGGGATGTAAAACTAATCGAGACTTTAGGATTAACCCTAACCCGAAAACGGAAGGTAACGTGCGCATGCGTGCAATACATGCTTGTACATTGCATTCATGCAATACTTCAGCACCCTTAGCTTTGAATAAGAGATAACAAGATGACGGTTTTTACTGTTACTTTATAAGGCACACTCAACTTGCTAGTACGTATACTCAATTTAAGCCTGCAATGCTAGCATTCGTTAACAGCTAGCTGGTAGCATTATGTCACACTGAACTTTCCGAGCGACTTTAACTATACTTGATTCTTTTAAAGTGTACGTACCTATTACGACTCTCATGGTCACAAGATTGACGTCCAATACTGACGTCAATATATGACCGCCGGTTACAGCGTCTATTTAGCCTTATGTCCGTACCCTTCTATGTTGTGTCCTGTAGTTGTACAGTTTTTGTCCCAGTAGGAGACCCGTATTTCAGCCAGACAGATGCGTCATTTGCAGTGCCGCAGTATTTTACTGCGGTCAAATCAGCCGCCGTTCAGTTTTCCGTGGTCAAGCCAGCCGCGCTAGAATTTGAAGTGCGCCTATATACGTTATATACACTTACATTTACGGTAAAGGTATTGAAACGGGCCAAAGCTCGCGATTCTCAACCTAAGCTGCATGTCTTTGGACTGTGGGAGGAAGCCGGAGCGAACCCACGCAAGCACGGGGAGAACATGCAAACTCCGCACAGAAAGGTTCGAACCCAGAACCTGCTTGCTGTGAGGCAACAGCGCTAACCACCGTGCTGCCCATACCGCAGTGTCGTATTATAGTTTAAACTGGAGCACTGGGAATCTCAGCTGTGGTATTATAAATTAAAGTAGCAGGTGGCATTCAATCCCTGGTTTATTTAAAACAGCAGGTGGTTATTTATACGGATGTTTATTAATATCTACTCACTAAAGTTGTGTGTCAATGTAGGGGAATCGTAGTTTTAAAAATGTTTAGAAAATAACAATAGTAAGATAATTAACTGAGTTTAATTAAGGGGATTTAATAATCGACATGGCTTAACGATAACTGCAAAAACACATCATTAATTAATGAGGACAATGGATCCCTACATTTTCACAGTAAAATTTGGTAATTGGGAGATGATAATAATAATGATATTATTAATTTGTTTGAACCCTTAGCTCCAGGACCAATGACATAGAGTAGCCTAAATATGTTATGAATACAGTAACGAAATACTACAAAAATGCACTGAAAACCCGGAAGCTGTGTGATTTCTGACGGATGACAACAAACACGTGGTTTTGATAAAGAGATAAATTGAGCCCCAGCCTAGTTGTTTCTCCTTTTCATGTTCCGGTGGAGAAGGTTGGACGTGCTTCTGCCTGATGTTAGCGATGAGACGGAACCCAGCACGTGTGTGGTCTCATTAATGGTATATGTCGTTAGTTTGCATCATTTTACGGTGATTTTTGTCGCAGTTCATGTGTTTCTGCTTGTGGTTGTTCCTTGTTGGTGTTTCCGCCACTATGAACATTGTTAGCTCGATGGTCGACCTCGTGGTTTGTAGAACAGTCGACAAATTGTCTCTGCATTCAAGTAAATGGTGGATTAAAATAACTTAACTAGTAGTAGCACAATACAGTTTGGTTTGGATTTAAATATTATCCTCTCTCAGTGGTCGACGATAATTACACCTCAGGTACAGCCTTTTAATTCGAATAGGAGTAACTGTTGTATCAGGTTTCTGTCAATTGAGCTTCACTACTTGTAAGAAACATTGTAATTTGTATTTAACTGTGTTTATGAATGTATCATGTTTTTTTAATGTACTAATCATTGACAAATGTAGTGGGCTGTATTGTTAAAGACAAAACCACCAGTTCCAACCTATTTGGCTTGTGAGCTCAGAAATGTTTGTATGTAGCCTTTTTTTCCCCACATTTCACTTATCAGTTCTAAGAAAGGGGCATTTCCTTTAACATCCAAGACAGTTTCCAAGAATTATTTGATGGAAACCAAAGGCTTCAGTTTAACCTTCCTAACAAATGCAAGAAACGCCCAATACAGTTAGTTTCAGCTATATGTACCAAAAAACTGGCAACTGAGTGTAATCTAATTTCATTTGCATGTCAGAGCAGATGCAGAACAACCTTTTGGAAGTTGCCAGATTTGTTAGAATAAAGCTGCTTTTAAAGTCAAACCACAATGATGAGTTGCATGTGAGTCCGTGTTTCACCTGAACCTCGTGATTATTCTTTCACTGCACTGATGGGTTTGACAGTACAGTTACTAAGTGAGGATGTTTACTGTGCGAACTTGGACTAAGCGGTCATGTTTTCCTCTCCTTTAGGATTTACAAGTCTGTCCTGGATATGTTATCTTAAAGGTGAGAACAAATTCAGCATTTTTGGTCTTTCACAATAGGATCGTTGTTACGTACGATTGTATAGCAAGTCCATGTATGTTAATGCTTTCTCTTACCTTAAATACATCCCACCTTTGTGAATATTTTTATTACAACCTTTATTCTGAGGCTATAGTTTGTGGTGCATCACTTATTTGACTAGTCCGATCTCTGCAGCCTGTAATGTGTGTTTAATGTTGAACCATCACTCCTCTAGAACAGTTATCAGTTCACCTTTGTTTGTTTACAGGCAACAGGAGCACTGCAAGAGCTGAGTCCCTCAGTGAACGTTTTTTTTGAATGACTTATCTCTGTTTATTTCTTTACCATGTTCACAGTTGTAGGTAAGTTTGAAATCAAAGTGACTTGCTGCCTGAAAACATGAATGTATTCATAACCTATGCAAGTGTTTAAATCACTACTTAAACTACACTGTCTAATTTAAATATGCATGCAATCTAATGCGGTCAATGCAAAAAATCTTGCAAATGTCATACTGTATGTGTTAACGATTCATAGCTGGTGATAGTGTTTTACTGGACTGCTTTATAGCCAGAGGTGTTTGTGTTCCCATCTATTATGAAAATAAGACAAAATTGTGAAGCACTGACTATAACGTAGTCCAGTACACCAGCCCCTTTAACTATGAACTCTGATAAACACAACACATTTACGGCACTGCTTTTGTAATGTGTTGCAATAAACTGTACACATGTACACCCAATAGTGGCCACTGAGTTTGTATTGTGATATGAACAGTAAGGTTCAAGTAAATAAAGCAAACTGTGTTAAACTATAGTGTTTGTTTTCTGGCTCATGTAGAACAGTAGTTCTTACCTTTTTAGTGTGACTCCAGACTCCTTGAGAACAGTAGCTGGTTATTAGGTACAAGTCCAAGAAATGTCAGTGAGACCTTCCAGTTGCGATAGAAAATTGTGCCTGTTTTTGGCAAATCTTCGTGTCCAAATGATCAGTGCAAGTGGGTAAACTCTCTTCAAAAATCTTAAATCTGTTAAAAATCTTACAACATGGATGTATTGAACAAAGTGTCTGTGTAAAACAAAGAGCTTAAGTCTCACATCTTTTACTGAACTGCATAATGCTTTGACCCTTAAACGTATCAAGCATATAGTGCAAACGTGAGCTCTACATTGTGCAACAAATGCTGGTAACACTTCTCACTATTGCATTATGAGAAGTCCCACATTAAAGTGAAAATCAAAACCTTTGATTAAACTTCACATCTAAGCAACAAACTTAAAAATGTATCATAAACCAGTGCAAAGAATCTCTGCTTCAGTGTTGTGAAGTGTGAACATGTTGGAGTCCAGCTCCAGACATTTCAAAGAGGAGCAAGCAGTCAAACCGCTGCCTGCGCCAAGTATTCCAAGACCGGCACTGAGTTTTCCATGATAAAGAAATGTCTTCTGTTCTTTTAGTCAGTTCAATGCAATGAGTAATTGAAAAGCCTGTACTGATTAAACAAAAATGAATGGTTCATCTCTTTGGCCCAAATGAGAATGTGTACTGATAAGCTACAACCAAGTCCTTTAGGATTAAGTGTCAGTTATCTGAAAGGCCAGTTTGAGGTTAATTACTAACAGTCTTAATTTTCCCTATACATCACTCATAAGCAGGATATCAACATGTAAATTGTATGGTATTGTTTATTAATGTATACTCTAGCTCTTCCTTGGGAAGCTGCTGTAAGAAAAGTTATAGTACAATAAAAAGCCTTAATATGAAATATTAAATACTGAGCATTAATAGCTGTGAAAATTACAATGTTATAAACCATTTCTGCCTATAAATGCTTTAACTGTTAAGGATTTTTTTTTCATGTATGTTTTAGTTACTCTGTAGTTCGGCTTTGTTTTCCTTTGTTCTTTGCAACTGCCACAAAAAATGCAAAGTATTTTTTAAATGCAGCAAAGTCAGACTCAAATCTTGCTTTAAACAAAATCTACCCACCACGTAGTTTTACAACTTTCCAGTTTCATTCAATGCTTACTTCCCGTTTTATCTAGAGGAATCTCGTGTGGCTATGAGGTCAACATTTATAGTTCCCACACTGTCTTTGCCCATGACCCGACCCTTTTTGTTTCCTATTTGGTCCAATGTGGCCTCAAAGAGCTTAGCCATGAAAGCGAAGCCGTCCCGCTTGATGTAGGATTTTGCAGTGAAGGTGTAAAGGACCGGGTTGGCACAGCTGCTGATGAAGGCCAGAGCTGAGGTCACTGCACGACAGGCCTGAGAGATGTGGTCCAACCTGCAGGTACACACATTAGTAGCATTATTAGCCTACAATAAATTTAAAGTACAGTATATAAGTGAAAATAGGTAAGAGGGTGTGTAAAAAATCTCACCTTTCTTTTGTGGGTGAATCCTGTGGGTACCACTCAGCCGCCACCTTAGCCAGAACAAAACATCAGTTCCTTCCAAAGATATTTGTCTTAAAGCAGAGATGTGAGTTGAATTGTTTAATAAATGATACTGTATATACACCCTCACACACCTGTATCATGTTGACAACATGGTATGGCAGCCAGAAAATGCCAAATGTCACCACAATAGCCAGGATGAGTTTCTCACTGCGGATCTTTCGGCCAAACTTGGTCTGCCTCAGGCGTCTCATGATGAGGGCGTAGCTGGTGATGATGAGTGCATAAGGAAGAATGAATCCCGCCACTGTCTCCAAGGTATACTGAAACCTCACCTGTACACAGAATAGATATGTTCACAGTAATGACTGCATAGGCTTCTGTAATCACTCTGCTATAACGAGGCAACGCCAGATACAAATAGAGTTCATTTATCAATTATAAACGGTTTAAAATACTACAACTTCTCAGGTTGCAGCTTCTTAGTGAAGTATTTGCTGCTTCTCTTTTTCATATACTATAATGAATAGAATGCCTTAATAACTGAAGACCATTCAGATATCTTGGAGTTCTTCTGGAACAAAACAAATGATTTGATGACTGCCTTTCGCTTTAGGAAATTGTGAATGTTTTTTGACTATAAAGTTCATCAGTCAGCCAAGAACACATAATGGATATTAAAAGTAGTTTCTGGACTGCTTACATTTCGGGACAGGGTGTGCTTAGGCGCACAAACCATGCGTGTGAAATTCTTCTCAGCTGTGTTCGTTGTCACGCCCCGAAACAGCAGTGAAGGGAGAGAAATGACCATCACCAGCACCCACATGCCCACAATTAGTCTCCTCACAATCCTCCTGCTGGCCAGGGAGGACACTCTGCTGGGAAACACCACGGACACCAGCCTGTGCAGGCTCATCAGTGTGATCAGAAAGATGGAGGCGTACATGTTGGAGTTGCACAGGTAGAACAGACATTTACACATGAATAGACCAAAGATCCATGTCCGCTTGGCCAGGTAGATAATGAAGAAGATGGTGAGGGCCATGAGGATGCCATCGGCAAACGCCAGGTTGAGGATGAGGATGGTGGTGATTGAGCGTCGTCGAGTGCGTGCCAGGATGCTCCAGATGACGAAGAGGTTGCCAGGAACACCCAGGAGGAAGACCAAACCAAGGATGACGGCGCCCAGAGTTGTGGAAAAGTTGTTACTCACAGGGCTGTCCTCCTTATGATCTGTGTCATTATGACTGTGGAAAAGGGAAGGCTGAAGGTAAAGACCTTCATCCATGATAGAAGGGGGTTTGATCCTGAGGACAAGAGACAACATTAGAATCTAAAACAGGATTCACTCAGTTTGCTGTCTTTCTCAAAACATCCCCGATAGTTACAAAACAATAAGAGCATTTCTCAAAGGAACCTGTTCAAACAGCACCACACAATGGATTTGCTGCAAAAGCGCGTCACCTGCTCAAAATCCTTAGTTTATCTCTGAAAGCAGATACTTATGTAAGTGAACATGTCAGTGCCCTCAGCATGACCAGTCCTTGTTTCATCATTTATGAACATGGCAGTCAGAATGTTTAGTCACGTTGTCTGTACAGCTGTTTAGTAACATTTAAGTATTTGTAATGTCAGTATTGTCATGTGAAAACTGTGGCTTGGATTTTGAAGACAGTGACTGAAAATACAAAAGGCTGCACATTTTCTGTATGGCAATTCATTCAAAGTTTCACTGGCCACTTTATTAGGTACACCTGTACAATTCACTTCCACCTCAACATCTGTGTTTATGAAGCTCAAAATGATTCAGCTTCATCAATCTATAAATTCAATTATATGTTTATCATTGAGGTCATAGTTAAAGGTGGTGTTGTGCTGGACTATGTTATATTCAGAGGTGTTTCTAATATTACTGCCTGGATGTTGTGTTTGCTGAAGTGTGTGCCAGTTGTATTTGTCTATTTGTATTGTTCTGTGTCTATTGTTGTAACGATTTACTGTTGAATTGTTTGCTGACCTCTTTGCCTGGTCAGTCTTGAAAAAGAGATATCAGTCTCATTGTGGCTTACCTGGTTAAATAAAGGATAAATGGAATAAATAAAAAAATATTCTTACCCTCTCATGTACAGTATGTAGCTGTGGAGGCCAAAAATATAGAGACACCTTTTAATCCACAAATATTAAAATTATGAGCATTGTAATAAATCTGCTATGAATAAATAATCAAGTCAATAAAAGTAAATAATTATTTAAAGATGGGGAAAAAGGAAAGAGCCAGACGTTAGTAAAATGTGATAAAGATTTAAGAAAAAATGTCAATAAAAAGTCCAAACTTGAAGTAGTTCAAGTTTCACAGTGAATGTTCAGGAGTGACTGACCTTTCCAGCAAAGAAGTCAAATATCCCACTGCTTTTCTGTGCTCCGTCTGACTTACAGTTTATTGTTTCAAATATCCCACTGCTTTTCTGTGCTCTGTCTGACTCTTACAGTTTATCGTCCCTTGTCTCTGTTAGTTCAGTCCATAATCTAGTGAATCAGTCCTGTGTCACAGGCTGCAACATGCTGAGGTTAGAGAGGGAGGCAGAGGTGTGTCTTTCCTTCAAATTCTCTGAAGCGCTTGCTATTCTTCTCCATATATGAGCATCCTGTGGAATGTATCTCAAGTATCTATGCTATAACACTGTATGCACATATTTTTAAAACAAACATCCTGTGGAATGTATCTCAAGTATCTGTGCTATAACGCTGTATGCACATATTTCTAAAACAACCAAACATGCACTCTTCTTTTAACATGTCCCAGTGTCCTGAATCAAAATGTGTATCCATATGTCCTGAGGCGCTTTTCACTTTTTGAGTAAACTGTTGCATAATGGAAAAGAACAAAGGAGTAGAGGTGATTCAGATGCTTGCACAAGCTCCCCTAGCTGTCTCTTGGATGCTGGGCACACAAGCACAAACACGCATACACACACACGTAAAGGTTCACAATCACTAGTTGGTACAAGTCTCTGACACTGACAGGAATGCTGGTTTTCTTAAAAAGTTGAGAAATGAGCGAACACCCAAAGCTGAAGTGTTGTTTTTTTTTTACCTTTGGGGAAAGTTTTTACTACGTGTGTTTGTTCAGTGATGTCACTCGTGTAGTTTACACACTGGAGATGGATAGACAACTTTATATGATAGTTATCTGTGATCTGTTCATCACTGAGCAGCTGACATGGAAAAGCCAGAGTCCAGTGAATTTTCTCAAGGAAATTTGTAAAAATCCAAACAAACACAGAGGCTTAAAGGAGAACTTCACTAATTTTACACATAAACAGGCGCTTTCAGACCAGACAGTTCTAAGGACTTAGCTCTAGGGACTATCCTACTTGGGAGCTCAAGAACTGCACTCCGTTCAAAATATTTTTAGCTTGAAGTGTAAATCCTCTACTTAGCTAGGACCTCATGTCTTTGTGGGATGCACATTTCAACATGGAAACAAAGAATGGTGTGATTCTCTAGCATCAGTCCAAGAACAAGTCTGTTAAGTCATTACATACAGTAAACTATATGACAAAATGTGCCACCACTACAGAACAAAAACCTGGTGATGTATAATACAGTCAAGATACAAAACATTTCCTGTTGATAGCGTGGTTATCTGTCCTCTGACTGTTGAGGATGGCTGCAGTAAAACCGTTCTGCTTTTCACCACATGATGGCGACGTGTCCACGAGAATCATTTCTTCTGTTGACGCCCAGCTTCCCCTGGCAAACTTAACATTCCTCCTGAGCCGCACTTATCCATCACCTTGCACCAGTCCTTAAAACAATTTACTTGAAAGTCAATTGCAATTCAGCTCTACCCCCTAATTTCCACCCAAATTCTACACTTGATCTGTGTGTGAACTACTGAGAATGTGTTTTTCAAGTTCACGTTCAACTAGTTACAGCAGGATTAATTTGAAACTAAAACTTTACTCTGACATTTTGGCAAACAAAGACCTCAGGATTCCCACATGAGGACTGTTTATGCTAACTTTAAGCCAAATCTGAAAGCACACCATTTTCTCTCCGTTGAGGCCTTCTGCCATTATTCACCCAAAGATGTTTTGAAGTCAGTGGATGAATCTGGAAAGAGATATCAGATAAAACAGATGATGGAATTAACATCTATTATCTGTCAGGCCACTTTGTGATTTGAAATATTAATTATTAAGTCAGTGCAGCAGCACATTACTGTTTGGTTAATTGGTAGCAGTTATGAGCTGCAGTCAACAGACTATTTGACTCATGTTCAGTTCTCCAAAAAAGAAAAACACTATTATGTGTTTTCTTCTTTGCAGTTAGAGTATCCTCCGCTTTTCGCTAGTCCCTCATAAGTTTCTCGTTCACTCCAAACTTTCTTTCTGCTGCTCGATTACCGTTTTCGGCTGCATATTTCACTACTTGCAGCTTGTAATCTGCAGAATATGATTTTCTTTTGGGGGGCATTTGTGGTCAGTCTTTCTCAGTTGTCTTTATAAGTTGATGTTTACATTTTCAGTGGTACAGTAGTGATAGGCGCGTAGATACTGGCACACAAGCCGAGAGCGCCCTCTCGCAGCTGTCAGTGTGAAAATAACGAACATGTGAAATTTCAATCTACGGTAATATTTAAAAAAAAAACATACATAAGTCGCTCCGGAGTATACGTCGCAGGACCAGCCAAACCATGAAAAAAGTGCGACTTATAGTCCGGAAAATACGGTAAATGTCAACTACAAAATTGTGAATTTGACTGTACTGAACTGGAGTGTAGGTGATGATGAAGAGCTGAAGGTTTAACTGACTGAGGTTTGGGAAATTAACCTGGACCGTGATGCTGTGATGTTGCGGTCAACCGACAGAAGAGGACAAGAAGGTTTCACATTTAAGATCTTTATAAGGAGTGTTTGAAAACATTAAGTGGACGCAAGTTGGATTTTGGACTTTGCCAGGTTAGGCCGTGTTTGTATTAGCTCTGCTTCAAACAAGAGTTACTGCCTCACAGTTGTATGCCTCAACTCAAGCTACAATTTCTATGTATGTCTTAATTTTCCAAATAGTTTTCCAGATTTGTAAACTTCTGTATTATAAACTTTTCTGCAGAGATTTATGGTCCAGCTTTAAAACTAGCCTTCCCGGGTCATATCTCATCTTCTTTTTGGTGCATATCTGCAGCCCCATGGGTTGTTCTAAGTATGAAGGCCAGGATATGTTTGAAACATGCCAGACTATTCGAAGTTTTGTCCAACCATGCATAAAGGGAAAGGGCTTATACTTATTCCAAATGGCCACACTGAATCTAAGTTGAAAAACCTGCTGTCACAAAGACTCAAATTTGAATTAATCAGTGAAACAAATGTGCATGTTTCACTCTACTCAGAGGTATTTATGGTGTTTATGGTGCACATGGTGTTAGATTGTCAGTTTCAAAATGTTGCAAAATTTGTCAGCTGGAGCAACCCCAGTGCCACGGTCAGAAAGGTTTAAGAGTTTAATGATCCAACAGTTACTTTGTTTGGTGCATACATGAACTTCTAAGCTTAACAGCAAACTAAATGAACCTTCAGCCATTACACAGTCTCCAAACCAAACTGGTGGGTATGACTGTGGTTCAGTGGGTAGAGCAGTCGTCTACCAAACGGAGGGGAGGAGGTTTGAATCACGGTGCCTGTAGTCCACATGTCAAAGTGTTCTTGGGCAAGACACTGAACCCCCAAGTTGCCCCCGATGGTTAGAGCCATCGGTATGAGTTGGCGCCGCAGATGGCTGCCTCAGTTCTGTACTGGAAATAAATTCACTGTGTGTAACATACTTGGCCAAATAAAGGTAATTAACTCTTGTTCAATTCATTTTTAGCCACTGAAATAAAACAGTTTGAAATACAGCTACTGGCTACCAGTAGTGCCAATGTGGGATTTTGTGATGGTGATGAAGGGTTTATCAAGTCTAGATTCGGGCCTCAAAAAGTCTTGCGTCAGTCCTGCTGGTAGCACTTTTTTCCTCTCCCCACCCAGACTGCAACATCTTGAGCTCAGTCCAGGATCCAAGGCCTGCCCACATGTCCCCAAGAGAATGACAGGGAGAGTGAAACAAGCCCCCAGTTAAACTCCAGTATAACACATATGCTTAATGATTGTGAGAACCGGAGGAGGACGAGGAAAGAGGACAGAGGGGAGGAGGAATCCTGAGGCAGAAAGAGCCAGAGAGAGTGTGTTTATTTAAGTTTTTCGTCTCCTGACTCAGACAGAGAGCAGACTACAGTGGATAATGAGAAACAGATCTTTGGTGGAGAGGAAGGAGGGAGGGACAACTAGGGTTTGGTGGTGGGGAGAAGAGAGGAAGGAGGAGTGGGGTAATAAAAAGAAGAAAGGGGGAGGAGAGGGAAGAGTGACAGCCATGTGTGCATGTGTGTGTGTGTGGGGGGCTCTTTTTCATTGCTACAGGAAATAGGCCCTCTGACAGTATGTGCACTCACTGACAGTTAACATCAGCCCCCTGCAGCCGGCCTACAATGGCAAGATATGGAACATTTGAATCCTAATATTTTGGGCTTAGCAGGTTTTTATGATGAAGCTGACATGGACGTAAACCAAATCTTAGAAGGAAAAGAGGCACATCGGTGTATTAAGCAAATGTGAAGTGACTGTGGCTAAGAGAAACCACCAGAGTGAGTGAGTGAGGAGGGGGGAGATGAGGGAGGCTGGCGGCTGGGCAGGGGTGATTCATGACTGACAGGCACAAGGTCCTATGGGGAATGAGCAACGGACCAACTGGAGCTGGGAAACCCACCCAAAGGCAATTAAGGGTAAAGGACGACAAAAATATTTGATAAACTTTTTTCCTCTTTCTGTCTTGAACGGGGAAAAGAAGGACGAGCTAGAGAGGATGGCGATGGAGCTAGAATGAAAGCCTGTATCTGGGAAGTATGTTTCGGAGAAGACAGTTAAATATCCTGAGCAAAGATTTGATCTGGACCGCAAGACATTAAATCTGAAGAACATCCGAACAAGAAAGAGCGTGGAAAAGTGGCCGGAGTTAAGCGGAATCCTTCCAAGAGGAGGAATATTTGCGCAATGAGGCGCACGTAGAGGAAAGCCAAAGTTTTGGGGATACCTCCGTAAAACTGTTTCTGAAGCGCATCAAGGGCGTTAAATTCGCTGTATCCGACGCTGTATCACTACATCTGTATCCTGTCCTTGCTGCCGGAGGGCGATGGGGGCCGCGCCGGGCTCGGGCTGGGAGGAGGGCGAATTCGAGTTCAAGTTGGTGTTTGAGGAGGACCCGCCGCAGCGACAGAGTCAGGGGCCATCCCCGGTGCGCACAGCCGGACTGGAGAGCTCCGTTCCAGGGGATGAGAGTGAGGGCTCCCTGTTGCACCTGGACTCCCCCAGCAGCAGCAGCCTGGGTTAGCCTTACTTCTTTTGGATATTTGATTGCGTTAAGTAAAGGGACACATTAGATAGAGGAGGTCTAAGTGACCTGGCAGTGACGACTTCTCTGTGAGTGTGTGTGTGTGTGTATGCGGGTGTACCGTGCATGTGCTGCATAAGGGCCCGCAGTGGTGCGTTTTCGTGCCTCTTTCTGTAAGCATGTGAGCACGAGTATACTTTTTATTGTGTTTGTTCTGTGTGGTATGCATCCGAGTGTGTGTGTGCATATTCCTGTTTAGCGCATGTGCGTGTGTTCATTTGCATGTTTGTGCATATGTGCGTGCAGCCCCAGACTCAATGTGTTTCTAATCAGCTGTGCGTGTGAGCAGAGTTAACAGCTGCCATCTGGGAAGTAACTTCAACCTCTGTGTACTAAACACGCACCACATACAGCCACCCCCCTTTCACCTACCCTCAGTCTCCCCCATTTTTCACTTTAACACACACACACACCTCATATCCACTCTCTCATTTGTTTCCCGCCTACACTGGCATACAGTTGTATTACCACACCCAAGGCATGAAAGTAAACTGCAGGAGAACTAGAGAGTAGTCCTTCACTGTTGCTATTCAGACCATATACTTTCACGGAAGCTGGTTAGCGACTTGCCTTACTTAGCTCTCTTGACACTTTGGTGTCACTCCTGGTGTTCACATTTATGTCGCCAGCTCTCAGTGTCTGTTGGTATAACATGCAAACCAGTGTGACACAACTTATTTTGACATGACCTCTTAAAACAATCTAGTATCGACTCGCCACCTCTGCTCATTAGTTGCAGACTCTACAAGCTGTGACCATTTCAGCCGAACAGTGATGTACTTTTATTTGTTTGATTAACTTTTAGCTGGCTGAGAGGTAAAAGGCAGGACTGTAGGCTACTGATCCCACTTGTTCTCTGATACCAATACCTGAACTCAGCGCTCTGCTGATGCCGAGTCAACCTCAATTTAGGCGAAAAAGTAATGTATTATGATAGATCTGTTGGATTTGAAAGGAAGTCACAAGCTGTCAGGTAAACTTTGGTAGTAATAAACTGCTGGTCTGCACATAACTTGTTTAAAAGGCCTGAAGAGGTCGACTGAATTCTGTCTTTTACCCATATGTGAATAGACTGGAATATTTTTCAAATTTTGCATGCCCCACAGCGATGAGCTCCACATTTTTGTCTTCCACATGTCTTCAAATCACCTAGGTTGCAGAATAAAGTATAACAGTCTATTTGATTGGAGAGACTTTTCTGTTGAGTAAAGAAGAAAAGTGATGCCGACTGCTCTGCTGATTTACAAATATTTAGATGATCCTGTCAGAAACTGTTATAGGAAGAGAGACTGAAGAGGTAAAATTCACTATCAATGTGCAAGAAAAATTCTAAACAAGAATAAGAATAAAAGCAAGGATTGGAGAGATGTCTGAAAAATAAACAGCAGCAATACGTCTTTTCGGTTTCCTAGCTTGTTTTACATCTCACAACTTCTCAGATAGGTTATTTTACAGTAGCATCTCTAATTCCACTATAGTGCCCAGTAGTGCCATGTGGAGATCTGGTTCATGAACTCAGATTCATCTTACATCCCTATATGGAAGCTGGGAACTGCTGATCTTAACATCACTTGTTTGAGGTTAAGTTCAGGACATAATAAAGTACTACAGTATATTTGGTCTGTTAGACTTTAGCTTTATTGTGTTAGGTAAATTTTGGTGTCTCATAAACTGCTCTGCTGGTCTGTACGCAAACATCTTAATCAGTTTCATGAGGGCAATCCACCATCAGAAGAGTCGCCTCAGCAGTGCAGCTTTAATCACTTGGAAATATTATTGTTGCCAGGAAACATTTGAAGGAATTGTTCACCTCAAGTCTTAATTTGTTGGCAGTTGCTGTTGTGTCTTAGCGTTGCCAAAGAATTGCCTCTATGGCCCATCGCCACTGCAGCTCAAAACGATCAGTCGGAGCCTTGCTCATTACAGGGTAACTACCGTTTGGCTCCGTGTGGAGGCCGACCACATCTGGGGAAATGTTGTGTTGAGGGCTGTGGCCTTGAGGGGGTCACATCGTCATGTGGATGGTTGTTCAATGGAGTCCAAGATGTTTTGTACAGAATGGTTCCTGCCTTTTTTTTAAGAATATGTAGAAAATCTCCAAGTCATTATTTCAAAATTAACAGCAGAGTTGGGTTTGTGATTCTTAGTGAGGTTGGATTTGGATCAGTGAGCCAAAAGTAAACTTCATGATATGGTTAGAATTCCCACTTCACTCTATGTTACTGTAATACATAGAAAGCATGCAGTGAAACAGCTGGAGGGCATTTACTAAAGTGTTGCCATAAGACTGCAGAACAATGTGTAATATTAAACTAAAATCTAATTTATTTTAATATTTGTTTTCTTATGTGTTTATATATCAGGATAAGGTGATTGAGATGTATCATATGTTGCAGTATAGTTTCAACAAATGCATCCACTCAGTTTTAATCTGATAATCACTTGTAATATTTCTGAGCAGATTTAAGAAGTTATTACTGAATAAAATGTTCTGGCTTGCCACAAAAGCGTCCTCATGCTTATGTGCTAAGATAAATTACAATATACAATTACAAAAAATGTAGATAGGTCATTGAAATATTATTTAATTTAAAGGAATAATTCAACATTTTATGAAATTCATTTTATTCTATTTTAGCTGAGAGTTAAATGAGAAGCTTGATATGTGTTCAGTAAATATGAAGCTATTTACTGTACAGGTGTGAAAGTAGTTTATAATGAAAGTGACCATAAATGCTGTATGAAGACACTTCATGGGGAAAGGTTCTGCATGCATTTTCCATATGGCAACAATTAAAGTGCAGTCAGATGAGGAAGCTTGATGATTAATGAATCTACCGCTGCTACTAATACTTTTGGCTGTTCCCGTTAGGGGTGGCCACAGCAAATCCACCGTTCGTATATATGCATTTGGCACGTGTTTTACGCCGGATGCCCTTCCTGACACAACCCAAATTAGGATATATATATATATTTATTGATGATTAATGAATGATGTGACAATAAAAAAATGAATTGTTACCACAAGTTCTGTTTACAATGTTTTGATTGACATCCAATGATGCCAGATGTTAAAAAACTGTAGATTTTCAGAGTGAACTGTCATTGTGTGGTTATGAAAAGATTAATGAGAGATCTGCAAAACCCACAATGTGACACAGTAAACTTTTTTTTTTTTACATAAAAGCAGCTAGAAAATAAATAGTTGCCACGTGGAAGTGAAGTGGTGAATATTGGAAAATGAACAAGCTGTGCACGCTTCCTTAGAAGTATTTGATTATCAGCATTTTTTAGCAAGTTAGACCAACTTTTGTCCAAAGCTGTGATGCAGGAGCATGTTGTGGATGCTCTCACGTGCATTCAGTCTTCACAGTGTTTGGCACCTCATTTTCTAACATTCACTCTGATAATTATTTCAGTTACAGACAACCACCTGGCTGCCAGTCATGCAGGACACACAATCAGCATCCCCAGTCTGCCAGCCTCGGCCAATCAGCGGGCTGGGATGCATTCTCCACCTCCAAGAAGGGCCCCTGTCAGGGAGTTCAGCGGGACCTATGAGAGCCTGCCTGCACGCTCTGTACAGGTGAGACAACCTGTTAACAGTCCTGCTACTTTATACTTGGACAGTTTCAACCTAAAGCATTTAGGAACCATTCTGCATCTTTTGCATATTTTAGCAAATTAATTGAAAACCACAATGGGGTGAGCGTAGCTGTGGGTCCTGCACTCACCATCGACTTGTAGTTTGTGTTTTTCACTTGTTGATCAGTTGCTTTTAAAGCAATTCTTTAATTTAATTCTCTGCGTTTGAAAAAGTGAAAAAAGTGTCTATTACAATTTCCCCGACATTTACAGTGGTTTTCACTGGTTGTGTTGTCTGATCAGCAGCCCAAATCTAAATGTTTCTAGTGATATGAAACAGATCCTTACATTTGAGATGTCTGTCTACTGAGAGACAAAGCAAAGAAAATGAAGCATCTTCTCTCCAGGTGTCAGAGTCTCGTGTGGTCGAGTGTCCTAGCATCCAGATAACCACCATCTCACCTGAAGATGACCCAGCACCTCCCATCTCCAGCTACTGGGAAATGGGCAGTGGTGGTGGGTGGGACCGAGAGCGCCTCTATCTACCCCTGCTGGACCCTTTTACCTACCGCGACAGATGCCCTGGCTCCCTCAGCCCCAGTCCTGCATCCAGCCCCTCCTCCCGTGGCTGGCTCAGCCCTGCCTCCAGCTGTGACTCACTGTTAGTGGAGGAGGAAGAGCTCAACGAGGCCACCAACAGTTCAGGGCTCTCGCCGTCATCGAGGCCCACCTCTCCTGGTGGTAAAAAGCGCAGAAACTCCCCCCTGGCTTCTCCCTGTACCTCTCGGAGGGGCAGTTACTCAGAGGAACTGCAGGGATGCAGTCTGGAAGGTGGAGACTCCACCCATCAATCACAAACTCTGCCCAACAGCTGTGACATCAGTATCCCACAGAAAACCAGGAAGACGTCATTAGAACAGGTAAAGACGCTGGTTTGGTGTAGTGGTAGAACATTTTATGAAATTTGGATTTGTCTGCAGTGGTGAATCTAACTTTTTATCTTCCAGGTGTCTCCCAGGGAGGCAGATCAGGAGCAGGCACCAGGCCACAGCACCCCCTGCCCACTGCCAGAGACCCAGCAGACCAGGAGAGAGCCCCCCTCTCTGGGCATGGACTACCTCTCTGTGCCTCCTACTCTGGCCTGGGGCAGAACACGAGCCAGCGCCCACAGCCCTCTGTTCAGGCAAAGATATACATAAACAAAGTTAAATCCTACACATGGGGATGTTTTAAATCCAGAATGCTCAGTTTATGAAAAGGGTTTTCCTTTGCCTGTTCATGTTAACCATTATTCCAATGAAAGTGAATCATCGACCTGCTCCTCTGTGTTGCATTGCAGATGTTATTTAACATTTAACCAAGTCCCATCTTGTGATTTATCAGGCAAGATTTGCAGTAGGTCATTGTGGTTGTACTGTATCTGCCCTTGAAAGAAATGGACTGGATTCACCCATGTTTAATTAAAAAAACAAAGAAGAAGAAGAAAAGATGTCTTGCCAGACCAAGACTAAAACCAAATGAACTTTTTATGGTAATAAAACAGTAGATGTGGATGCGACGTGATTAGCACCTTACACAACAAATGTATATACACTAACTGAAAATACAATTTAACAGTACCAGTAAACACAAAGGTCTAGATTCACAATAGGAATGTAAATATAGAAGTGCATTTAATGAACCAAATGACAAAAAAATAACACAAACGTTGTTTTTTTCACTCACTGTGTACTGCGTTTCAAAGTGTTTTGCACCTGTCATGTTGGCATGTGTGAATTATATGTAAATGTCATGACTTGGCCTGCGGAATATTTATTCACTGGCATCTGCTGTGCGTCTTCACTCAGTCGTGTGATCTGTTCCCTGTCTAATGATTTTCTGTTCACATGTACCTACAGACCTAATGCTCTACCACCACTGGACTGGCCGCTGCCACCCCAGTTTGACCAGTATGAGCTGCGCATTGAGGTGCAGCCCCGTCCACACCACAGAGCCCACTATGAGACAGAAGGGAGCAGAGGAGCTGTCAAGGCTGCACCGACAGGACATCCTGTTGTTAAGGTGAAAAACAGATTCACACAGCACCTGAAAGATGGAATCACATTTTTACAACAATATAGATTTGTCAGAAGAAACATCCTTTGAAATATGAAATTGCTTAAACAACATGATTATTTTGAAATCTTTGCCTACACTGAATGTAATTTCTGATCAAGCACAGGTAAAAATTTAGTTTTGTGTTTATAGTACCCAAACATAGTCTTATTGTGGGACACACGTTGTGGCTCACTGCTGGTGGCCTCATCACAGTTCAATCCCACCGCTCACGCTGTGTCTGTCTGTACGCTCTCTCTGCAGGTTTTCGTTGGAACGGCTGACGACAGATCGATCAGGCCACATCCTTTCTACCAGATACACAGGTGCCCGTCTGTATTTCTATTTAAAATCAAACTTATTTCAGAGCATCCCTTCATTCATAAATTACAACTCAACCTCTTGCATCTTGGGATATCTATAGGATGTCTGGGATATCAGCATCATATAAATTTATAGTTTCCTTACTGAACTTCATCTATTTGTTGTTTTTATTAATTGAAATACAGTATGGATGCTTTTGGTGCACACTGTATGCATGTGACTATAACAACAAATATGAAATACAGTCAATAAAAATAGTATTACATGATATTTAATATAATATACAAGCTTCTGGCTGCAGCTGTGCAGCCATATCAGATATTTCTGTCAAATTAATATAATAAATTGATGCCCTCACATTTTCCCTGACCCCAAGTTAAGAAGCTTCTTTTCTCTGTTCAACAATCCAGAACTCTTCAGTTTACAGTGATATATAACATTCGAGTAGCTGTACACAGCAAATAGTTAGCATTAGTTTACTGTATATGTGCTAGAGCATGCACTTTATGTATATCCAGTCTATCGCAGGACTGGGATTCAGTGTAAAAACTGTAACCAGACAGCTGTTGGATTCAGATGTTTCTCCTTCCTCAGGGTGACAGGGAAAATGGTGGGTACTGCCAGTCATGAGAGCGTTCAGGCGGGGACTAAAGTGCTGGACATCCCCCTCAGCCCTGAAAATAATATGACTGCACTGTGAGTAGAAGATTAAATGTTTCCTCTACATGCCCAGAGAACAAGGAATGTATTTATTTGTTTGTTTTGCATGCAGTTTCAAGGATATCTGAAAGTTTGAGATGAAGAGTAATGCTTTTTTTTAACTGAACCAGTGAGGAATATGTTGTTGAAGAATGTGACCAAGAGACACTAAACTAAAGACAAGGTGGAAAATAATCACATTTTATCATGCACTGTACTTGGGTTGTTTTATAGTTTTTACTCTGCTCTACTCTATAGTTTTTACTCAACAGCTGTAAGTGTAAAAAAGCATCAGAACTGTGTTTTTATTCTTTCACATTAATTATACACAACCCCTCAGATTTATAACACCCCGACCCCTAGGTTGAGTAGACTAAACTGCACAACTATACATAAAACAGTAAAACCAGCTCCACCTTGACGAGCTACAGCAAGACCATAGACTGTTTATAAAAATGGACAGTGCGTCACCACATCTTCCCACTGTGCAAAAATGAAACCAAAATTTTGGCAATACATGGTCGGCCATCTTGTGTTTGTGGTGCTTTTTGGAACCAGATTCTGCCCATCAGACCATCAATCAAAGCTGTCAATCATCTAAAATACTCCCCTTTTGACTTTGAATTCTTTGTTTGGCTCACTAACATGGAGGGAGTGGGGTTTATGACCTGTACTGCAACCAGCCACCAGGGGGCATTTGACTTGTGTTGGCTTCATTTCTGGGAGCTGTCATGTCTCCATCTTCATATACAGCCTATGGCTTATGCACTCGTGCATCAGTATTAAGACTCTAATGAAGTTCTGTATAATGATACATCAGGGGATGCTTTGCTTTTACTTTTTATACTTCAAGTACACAACATTTTACTGATAATACTTTTGTACTTTTACCTAAGTAAAAGAACTGTATACTTTTTTCACCCTTGCTGTTAAGTTCCATTTAGTAATGTACCGGACCCCTACCCAGCAACTATGCATTTCACTTGCAGACATTAGTGTGTAGTTGTAGGCACATGAAGCAGGGTTCTGCAGAAACATGTGGGCACACTTTCCCAAGATAAAGTTATAGTTTGATAAAAAATCTTTTGTGTTGTAGCATCGACTGTGCAGGGATTCTGAAGCTGAGGAACTCAGACATCGAGCTTAGAAAAGGAGAAACAGACGTTGGAAGGAAGAACACGCGTGTCCGTTTGGTGTTTCGTACCCACCTCCCTCTGGCGCCCCCCGTAGCCCCGGCTGGCCGGGTCCTGGCTCTACAGGTCACTTCGCTGCCCATCGAATGCTGTGAGTTGCTGTTTAATGGAGACTAGATTGTAATGAGAAGGCACATTCACACATTTACCTGAGCAAGATGTTAAAGACACTATGTAAGATTTGTAGTGTGCATTGACACTTGGAGGTGCCACAGGTGAACGTTTTCATATTATAGTCAGTAAAGCTGCAACTAAGAATTGTTTTCATTATCAATAAAGCCTATAAGATGTCAGAAAATAAAGAACAATACCTGCCCTAAAGCCTGAGCTGATGTCCCCAAATAGCTTGTTTTGTCCAAATCTCAGTTTCAGAAAACAAAAATTATTAATTTACAGTCATAAGTAAAAGAAAAAATTTCTAATTAGGAACTGTTTGGTATTTTTGTTTGAAAAATCACATTGATGATTAATTCATTACCAAAATAGATGTGTTCGATCAATCTACTAATCAATTCATCAACTAATTGTTGCTGCTCCACTACATATATTGGCTTTAAATTAGGAGCTGTTAAGTGCCGTTCGCTCGAACGAGAAAGAGGCGGACCCAGGTAGCCGACTTCGATGCAAGCAGTGATTTATTATGTACAGTGATGATGAGAGTAACAATACACAGAGGGAAATAGTGTGTAGTCCTGTAGATGAGTAGTAGCCGGGTGTTTGACCACAGCAGGAGGCGAGGAGATGGAGAGCTGGGCCGAGCTGCGTAGGCTGGGTCACTCCTGGGCTGGTCGGTGGTGATGGTGGCTACTGAAGGTAGAGACAGAGAGATGATGGCAATAGTGGAACAGATAGGCGACTGTGCATTGACCTGCCTGGGAGGAGAGAGTGGAACCACGGTCCAGAGGAACAGTCCATGGGGGGAACACAAAACAGTAGCTGGCTAGGGGATAAATACATACAAGACAACAAAAGAGCACAGAGGAAAAAATGGCCTAGAGATGAGAACGAACTGGCAAGTGACTGAGGAGTGAAACCGGGTAATATAGTGAGCAACCTAATCAAGTGCAGCTGGTGATAAGGGAGTGAGGAACAGGTGAACGTGATTAGTGTTAATGGGCAAGAGACAGTAGGAAAGGTGAGGGAGGCCAGAGCGGCCGAGCAAACCTGACAGGAGCACTGTTACTGGTACTGTTTACTTTTCTCCTTGCCTCAGCCCAGCGTTCGGCCCAGGAGCTGCCCGTCATCGAGTCTGTCAGTCTCACTTCCTGCTCTGTGGAGGGCGGAGAGGAGCTCCTGCTGAGTGGCACCAACTTCCTGCCAATCTCCAGAGTCTTTTTCATGGAGCGCGGGACAGGTGAATGTCCACAGAGGGCACAAAAAAGTGTAGATGATTTCTGATCTTCTGTATTTTTTGTTATTTTCCTGAGTTTCTGACTAAAGGGTAACCAATGTGCAGCAAGAAAATAGTAGTGGTAATGTGAGTAAGGATGCTGCTGGAGAAAATCTTTTTTGCTGCACAAGATATTTAAATTAGAAACTCAGCCTTTTTAGCTTTAAATTTATGTCAGTAATGCAATAACTCAGTTGCATTCAGTTTAGAGGACTTGGGGCTTTTGTTCTTTTCATTTTTATATTTTGTATTTTGTGTCTCAGTGTAAATTGATAGCTCAATACAGTGACTGTTCTATAAAGGCTGTGTAACATACAGCACACTGCATTGCAATACTCAGCAAGCTTTCCCTCTGTCACACAGACCGTCAGTGCAAAAAATAGCAGGAAGGATAACAGTTGTTCTGCCTATTTTTAACTTGTGCATGAGTGAGTTTTTATAAATAAGCAAGTGATGTAGACTAGGAGTCAGATTTTTTTAAAAAGCACATCATGACATGGACTAGATGTAATCTGCATATGGGAAATACTGTTTTAAGCTCTGCCTTGTGACACAGCATTAATGTGCCCCAGGAGGATAGCAATGGGGTTCAAGGCTGCAGAATACACAGCATGATTGTAGATCAAATGTTAGTAGGTTTGTTGACATAAAATGATTTAAATGGTAGTGGTTTGAGAGTGCAGGAACTGGAAGATGAGTGAGGTTCACAAACAAATCATTATTTATTCTGGCACATGGGCTCTTACATGTGTATCACTGCAGTTTTTCCCAAAAAATAATCCGGTTTATTTTCAGATGAAATTAACTTTTCAGTTCGATATTAAACATTTAATGTCAGGTGCCACCTGTGTCTGTCTATGTGTGTGTGCATCCAGGTTACACTTACCTCATGTTCTTATCTATTAGATGGTAAATTGCAGTGGGAGGAGGAGGGTCACGCTAACCGTGACAACAGCAGTGAGGTAATTCAGTATGTGTGATATCAGTCTGTAAACTAATTCTGCAACAACATGAACCTTTCATCACTGATCAAGTCTCTTCTCTGTAATATGTTCTGTCCACACCTCTTATGTCTTCGTAGTGTTTATTATGTGTGAGAGTTCCCGCCTACAGCAACCTGTCCGTCAATCGGCCTGTGTCGGTCAGTCTGTATGTTTCCAATGGGAAGAGGAAAAGAAGCAGCACTCACTGCTTCAAGTATCTCCCCAGTGAGTGTCCATGCCCTCCCTGTTCACCTCTGACTCTGTCGTATCTGATGTTTCATGGTGAATTTTGTTTAGGTCTTGTGTTTAGAGCCCAGAACAGGATTGAAACTGTATTATCAGGACAGCATATATGTATTTATGCATGTGCAGTAAAACATTGTTTTTATTTGTTTCTCCTCACAGTTATGTTCAAAGAAGAGGACCCTCTGCTGCCCCGGCCCTCTGTGCCGCCCCTAGATGGGGGCACTGCATGTCCCGTGGGGGGTCAGCCCAGGGTGGACAGGGGCTTCCACATCAGAGATGACCTCATGGTGGACGATCGAGGGCTGGGCTTCCACCTGCCGCCCTACCCACTCACCTACTCCCCTCCCTGCCCCAGTGTGAGCTACCATGAGGAGTACTGCTCTAAACCTGATTCTGCGGTGGAGGAACCTGGAGGGCCCAGGACCACCTTGTCTGAGCATCACCACAATTTTGAGAACCTGGAGTTGGGGTTCACCGAGCTCCTTCCCCCTCTGTACCCCCGTGGCCCACAGCCTCCCTCCCCCTCTCCGTGGCTGGACTCACCTTACCTGTCCTCCTCACCCTCCCCTTCCCACTCGTCCTCCCTCAGCCCATTCCCTGCTGGCAGTCCCATCTCGACCTCCCCTCTGCCTCCCATTCCTAATTCCCCTTACCCCCAGTACTCTGCTTATACTCAGGAGGTGTGTCCATCCCCTCCCTCCAACCCCAGCACCTATCAGGAGGTCTGCCCAGCACCCTACTCTCATTATGATGGCTGGGACCCCCAGGGAAGGGTGCTAGAGACGGGACATGGGGAAGAGAGAGATGCCAAGATCCAGGATTGTCCCTTGGAGTTTACCAGCTCAGACTCTATGCACCACATTACCTTTGAAGAAGGTAAGTTGTATATTGATCTGAATGTGGACTCATGTAATACAGTATGTGGCTGCATTACAGATATCTCACCGCCCAGGATGTATCAATATGTCACAACTTGAGGGACAGTGAATGAGCTAGACAGCACACACATGCATATGGATCATTGTTGGGTCACTGTAGCTCTGTGTATTAGACATTTGTGTATGAGGGGACATATTTTTAATGTTGCCGTTCATGCTGCTTAATATTTTAGGATTTTCTCCTCTTTTTCCTTCGCAGTGACAGAGTTCATTGGGGAGGACATCCAGTCTTACCAGTCAGGCTCACAAATGGACAACCAGCCAAACTGAGCTCAGAGCAACTGATTACCCCCATCATTTAAATTCCCATATGCACTTGGTATTAAGATGCGTTTTTCCAGTTATATGAACGATTGGAGAGATTTAATTATCAGGACACTATTGTAATTATGACAACATGTAATTGTTATGGTTTTATAAATTGACTAATGTTTTTAACGCTTTCAATATAAATTATATGAAGTATGCTTGGATTAAATGTTTTTCTTGCAAAAAATGAATATAAACCCATGTTTGTCACCCTCTAAAACAGAAGGGACTGAAGGAGAAAGGCTTAAACCCTGTGGAAAACTAATAAGATATAGAAGATGCAGTATTTCTACAATCCCACCTAAATATGTAACTCTGTGTTTACTGAAAGTATCTCTATTTTAGGTTTGCACAACAGAAACCTCATCCACCCTGCTTAAGTCTTCATTTATCTGCTTGGTTCCTGGACAGACGGCAAAGTAATGGCGACAGGAATTAGGGTCATGTGTCATAACAAATGGCAGCAAATATTTCTTGAGTTCCTGAAAGCATGGCAGTTTAATGAAATAACATGCTGGCAGCAGCAGCAGCAGCAACAACAACAAACAAATAAAACTGTCTGTTAACACAGAACTTACTAATCAATCAATTGCCAAAAGATGATCTTATCTTAGTAAGTTCTGTGGCTGATGGAAAGATAAAGGATTTAATTTGTAAATCTGCCCTTGTGTAATCAAGATGTGACCAGGTTGTGACATTTAAAGCTGTTTGAAAGGCTTATATGAGAAATAGTTTGTTGGATCCTCCTCTAAACATAACATTTTGTTGTGAAGAACAGTGCCACCTGGGGGGACTCAGGCCCAGGACACTTAACAGTGCTAAACCAGCAGCTGCTGGAGATACAGTATGACTCTTTCTGCTCTAAACATTCACAGGTCTTATTTTCTGCTGTGTGTACTTTTTCCACTAAAAAGAGAGTAGCTTCAAGAAAGACAGACCAAAGTCTTTCATTATTATAAAACAGCAAAGGCAATAAAACACAGTGACCGAGCAGAAAGATGCTAGAGCACCATTATATGGCTTCTTGACAGTTTTATGGGTCTATATGGTTCAGCAAAACCATAAATGGGCATGTTGAGACCAAAAACATGCCTTAAAAGTAAGGGATAGATATAGTAGATGTAGAGCTTTGACCATCTTTTAACGTCCAGCTTACCGTTGGAATCCGGAGCTGTAATGTCTTCATGACATAGATTTTTCCAGTTCTAGCTCCCACTTTTCTCCCTAGCTGCAGCTGAGGAAACGTATTTACACATGGAAAGTTTATGAGGTAAAAATAATGTAATTGAAATCTCCAGCTACAAACTATTGACCAAAATACCCTGACAGTTTCATTAATTTGTTAATCTTTTAGAATATTCATTACATGTCCAAATGTATGCGGACATATGACCTTTCCTAAACCATGGGCATTATTATACTGGTCTATCAGCCTCCACTTTTCTGGGAAGTTTTCCAACAGATGTTGGAAACTGCTGGCTTCAAGAGCCTCAGGGAAGTTAGCCACTGACCTGTGTCACCCTACCTCAAAGATGCTGGATCGATTTGGGTTCAGGGCTGTATGTATCCGGCTTCGTGCGTCAAGGCATTGTCAAAGAGGAAGGGATGTTCTCCACACTGTTGCTTCAAAGTTTTAAGCACACTGTTGTAAATGTTACATTTCCTTTAAGTGAAAGTGATGACCTTAGCTTGAAAAACAGCCCCAAAACTACCAGTACCAAAAGTGCATTTATATACTGTACTTTGGCCATATCCTATAGTGTAGTTGGTAATCAAATACACACAACTTTATCTGTGATGTGATTACCTATCTAGCATACTTTCGCAGTCTATGAATAGACAAGCAAGCTCATCTTGACTCGAAACTACTAAATGACCGAGAAAAAGATTCAAGAACCAGAAAGAGTAATAAAAAAATATGCTTTATCCAGCCTGAAGACGCTCACTTGTTTCTTACATCATTGTTAACACACTCTAGGAACACGTGGTCCTCTTTCCATACGCCTTGTCACATTTCACTAGGGGGAGGTATAGTCTCAAACATCAGACAGCGAGCACCCTCCCTCAGCCTGACTGACTCATACAGGTTCACACAGCTGCCAAAAAGAGCCTTAATGGAAAGGCCTCCATTAGATGAAGATAAAGGGCGAATGCATAAACAGAAGGATCATTACATCTAAACCTCAGTCACTGGAAAGGTCGAGTCCCAAAAGACAAGCTAACTATTGGATCACTGAAGTTTAAATATGTGCTGCCTGCTGGTAATGTGACTTAATACAGTGTACAGACAGTTGTGCAATAGTTACAGCTCCTCCTCTCTTGTAATTAGTTTTAGTTTGATTCAGATTGACAGAGACTGAGCTTTACAGGCACTTACTGATAACTGATGACATTAAAGCCAAATGTCATTTCAGTTTATTATAATGTATTACAAACTATTATTTGGCATAGTTCTGGGATTAAAGACATATAAGTTTACATAAAACCTTTAACATTTAATTGTCCAAGACCTAATTCCAGTGTAAGGCCAATACTCGACTAATAATAGATTTAGTATTTGTGTTTATATTCCCATAATGCTTTTAAAAGCATAAATATTTTCTTCAGCATGTGTGGCTGTGGTGTTTTGGCTGAGAAAGATGAGTTCAGCATTGAGATATTTTAAAACATTTGTTGTATTTCTGCCTGTGTGGTGCAGGAGCACTCACATGATGCCAGTATTTGTACTGAACAACAGAGACAGAAATGGATAAAACAGACTAATCCCAATTGTTTGCCTGTTTTACTGTAGGACCGGAGAAACAGTGTTTAAAGTGGGTTTCCTTACAAATGTAGCCTAAATTTTTAAGGAAATATAAATAAATGGAATGATCATTTCCATCTACTATGTGAATATTAAAAATTGGTTTGTTCAGGTAAATCCCTGGTGGCACTCATTTTTCAGCCAGTTGCAGAAAAAGGTCACAATATGATGTAATTAAAACAGAGCATATGGCATATCTCTGTTTCATGTATTAAGTTGAGAAACACCAAACTCTTGATCATTCCACACATACATTTTCACTTCATTCTCTCTTCAGTGGATGTTTTTTGGCTTATATTGATATACCATCCTTTCCACCACAGGCAAGGGAAAAAGCTTTTCTGCGATATTTCAAAATTTGCTTATTACCAGCATTTGAACACAGTTTATATATATATATATATATACAAATTGAAATGTGCATAAAAGCACATGTATGCAAACCCACATATACACCTGGATGTCACTGCACCCAAATAAGAACTAGTCTGGCACATGACAGCCCATAAAAACACATGTCGTTTCATAAGCAGAGTAATTCTTCCCTTAAGGGAAAAAATTGACCTTTATGTGTGAAACTGGTGGGGTTCGTCTTTAAAACATGTATTGGGTAATTCTATACTGGAAACAACATATTACTGTAAGGTCAGAAGTCACAAAAGTGTTGAAATAGAATCGGAACACTGGGCAACATCCCACCTAAATGACTTCAATTGTTTCTCACAATCTGCTTTCACAGCTGTTTGCACTCAGACTGTTGGCATGCTGACAAGGACACATCAGGGTTAGGAATGGAAACACGATGCAGCATTTGAGTTCTTTCTATGGCCTCTTTCATTTGAGATTGTATCAAGCAATTGTTATGGTGATGACTAAGTCTGTGTTCTTCTTATGGGTCAGAGTTGGAAGGCCAAGAATTAATTTAGTTACCTAAGGAAAGAAGAAAGGCCACTCCCAGGAGCATTTTTCACTGTGTGCAACAGTAGCAACATTTAATGGGAGATGCCTCATGCCAGCAGAAACCGACTCTCACTGAAATTAAGTTTAAAAGAGACAAAAAGATAGGACAGTCAGTGCACGTTTTTCACTAAGAGGAAGGGGAGAAAACTAAAAGAGCTATGAGAAAACCTGGGACTCAGTAACTGATAAATTCTTTATAGCTCATGGATATTTATGAAGGTGTTCTTGTCTTGTGCACCAGGCACCATAACTCCTAACTCACCAGCAGCTGGGTGTGCTATTGAACTGGCCACAGTCCCACTCCAGAGGGTACCACCCTTCCTTAAACAGATTGTTGCATCCAAACTAGTCATTGTTACAGTCTTTCTTTGTGATCATGGATTTATTGGTGACTGAAATGTTTATGTATCCCACTCTCTAGTAGCCACCAGTAGTCAGACCTCTAAAACTGATGTGAACCAATTTGATGTCTGTCAAGGCCCTGGAGCCCTGAGATACATTCACACCCCTCTGGGTTGTCCTGAGGTCCACGGAGAGCTGGATGGAATCTGGCCGTGAAGGGAGGAGTTGGGGAGAGTAGAAAGTGTAATGAGGGATCAAGTAAACAGTAGAGCATAAATAGTGTGTGTAGATCAGATGCTAATTTATAGTCAGTTTAATTTCATAGCATAAAATAACACAGCCACACACATGCCTGTTTACCATATAGTTTTATTGAAACACCAGGTTACAATTTCCTACAATACTGATATGGTATGCATACTGGAAACACGACCGGTGAAATATAAAAAAGTTAAAGGATATAACACGAACAATATCTAGAGAGAGAGAGAGAAATATCCTTTTAGTCTCTTTCTCCGAATATTTTTTACAGCAGTACAAAACTAATGTACTCAATCGACTAATTGTGGGAACTGAGTGGTATGATGCTTTTAGGCTGGGAGACACCGAAGTTTATACACATAACATTAAGTGCACTTGAACCGCCCATAGTCTTGCCCATGTTCTGCCCACATATATATTCTTACCATATGATTGTAGCCTGCAAATACAAATGTCTCATAAAAGGAGCAAAAAGCTAGCCTAGCATTCATTTAAACATCTTAAACATCAACTATTTTTGTTCCTACTTCAAGTTCTTAATCATTTGAACCTCATAAAAATTAGTTAATAACACAACTCAAACAGCTGCACTGCGTACTACTGGAAACCAAAAAATCCAATTACATTATAAAAGTAATAAAAAAAAATATCAAAAAGGTAACTTTCTTTGAAATTTTATTGTCATTATTTTATATTTTTAGGAGTTAAAAACAATCTTTTATAACGGAAAACAAAATTAAGGCAGAGCACTGACATACACATCATGCAAAACAAATCTAACAAACACAAAAAAGCCATCATTTACTTTGAGTCTTCCTTCATTTGTCATCACAGACTATGTTTACATGTATTGGGGGTATTAGGTTGTTGCCTTGTTCAAGTCAGAAGATTCTGTTCATAGCTTACTCATATCTAGATGTCACAAACACCTCTGTAAATGAAATAATTGTGTATTTTTGGTATTACAATGGGTATTCCATTATAGTAGATTAAAAGATATTGTAAAGTCTTGGGAAGTATCAGCATGTTCCAGAGATAACATTCAAGTCTCTTATAATCACAATAAGAGTCTATTCAGGTCACTGCAGGTAATGTTTGACATTTACATGCTCCAACACATGAGCAGAAAGCCTCGGTAATTTAGGGGAATAATGTTGTATATGTAAACATAGCCACTGACCTCAACTTCTCTCTCTTCTGTCCCCCTTCTCTCTCTAAGGTCCTAAGACTGACAGTATACTTCACACAAAATCGAATTTGGCAGGTTTGCAGGTGAGGTTTGGTGCCAAAAAAGTATAAGATTTGAGTTTGATGTCCCAGGTTGGCCGGATGAATTTGCCAATGTATTTGAAAATGTTTTTGCACCCTCATACACCCTCAGTCAAAGATTGTCCAAGTTCTTTGGGGCACTTCTAATATTTCTCCTATTTTGTGCTACCAGAACCATAGCAACATCAATAAAACAGTTTACTTGTGGTACTACTCTACTGTCTGTTCCCATCATGGCCCACACATTCCTCCAGTTAGTGTGGATGCATTAAACAAAAAGGCCGGAGTTGCAGTGTGTACACTAGCTTGAACTCACAACACCTCAGCAGCGTTTGAGAACATGCCAAATTCAATTTTATTTGGATCATACTGCTGGCCTGCCACTCCTTCTCTTCCCTCAAGCACTGACAAACACCAGGCGAGTGGAGTAGATCAGGTCAGCCAGGTAGAGGATGAAGTTGACAGCAGTAAGCACAGCCACTGCCATGTACTTATCCCAATTACACAACCCTGCGTTGTAACAAGAAGATGGCCTGTCTTTGGTTCCACCGTGCTTGGGATCAAAGTTGAAGATGGGCCAGATGATGGTCGCTGACAGATAGAGGACCACAGCCAGTAGGGCGTAGGCTGACAGGAAGCGAGCAAATGGGAAGGGGAGGCAGGCGGCATACATTTTCACTTCATTCTCTCTTCAGTGGATGTTTTTTGGCTTATATTGATATACCATCCTTTCCACCACAGGCAAGGGAAAAAGCTTTTCTGCGATATTTCAAAATTTGCTTATTACCAGCATTTGAACACAGTTTATATATATATATATATATACAAATTGAAATGTGCATAAAAGCACATGTATGCAAACCCACATATACACCTGGATGTCACTGCACCCAAATAAGAACTAGTCTGGCACATGACAGCCCATAAAAACACATGTCGTTTCATAAGCAGAGTAATTCTTCCCTTAAGGGAAAAAATTGACCTTTATGTGTGAAACTGGTGGGGTTCGTCTTTAAAACATGTATTGGGTAATTCTATACTGGAAACAACATATTACTGTAAGGTCAGAAGTCACAAAAGTGTTGAAATAGAATCGGAACACTGGGCAACATCCCACCTAAATGACTTCAATTGTTTCTCACAATCTGCTTTCACAGCTGTTTGCACTCAGACTGTTGGCATGCTGACAAGGACACATCAGGGTTAGGAATGGAAACACGATGCAGCATTTGAGTTCTTTCTATGGCCTCTTTCATTTGAGATTGTATCAAGCAATTGTTATGGTGATGACTAAGTCTGTGTTCTTCTTATGGGTCAGAGTTGGAAGGCCAAGAATTAATTTAGTTACCTAAGGAAAGAAGAAAGGCCACTCCCAGGAGCATTTTTCACTGTGTGCAACAGTAGCAACATTTAATGGGAGATGCCTCATGCCAGCAGAAACCGACTCTCACTGAAATTAAGTTTAAAAGAGACAAAAAGATAGGACAGTCAGTGCACGTTTTTCACTAAGAGGAAGGGGAGAAAACTAAAAGAGCTATGAGAAAACCTGGGACTCAGTAACTGATAAATTCTTTATAGCTCATGGATATTTATGAAGGTGTTCTTGTCTTGTGCACCAGGCACCATAACTCCTAACTCACCAGCAGCTGGGTGTGCTATTGAACTGGCCACAGTCCCACTCCAGAGGGTACCACCCTTCCTTAAACAGATTGTTGCATCCAAACTAGTCATTGTTACAGTCTTTCTTTGTGATCATGGATTTATTGGTGACTGAAATGTTTATGTATCCCACTCTCTAGTAGCCACCAGTAGTCAGACCTCTAAAACTGATGTGAACCAATTTGATGTCTGTCAAGGCCCTGGAGCCCTGAGATACATTCACACCCCTCTGGGTTGTCCTGAGGTCCACGGAGAGCTGGATGGAATCTGGCCGTGAAGGGAGGAGTTGGGGAGAGTAGAAAGTGTAATGAGGGATCAAGTAAACAGTAGAGCATAAATAGTGTGTGTAGATCAGATGCTAATTTATAGTCAGTTTAATTTCATAGCATAAAATAACACAGCCACACACATGCCTGTTTACCATATAGTTTTATTGAAACACCAGGTTACAATTTCCTACGATACTGATATGGTATGCATACTGGAAACACGACCGGTGAAATATAAAAAAGTTAAAGGATATAACACGAACAATATCTAGAGAGAGAGAGAGAAATATCCTTTTAGTCTCTTTCTCCGAATATTTTTTACAGCAGTACAAAACTAATGTACTCAATCGACTAATTGTGGGAACTGAGTGGTATGATGCTTTTAGGCTGGGAGACACCGAAGTTTATACACATAACATTAAGTGCACTTGAACCGCCCATAGTCTTGCCCATGTTCTGCCCACATATATATTCTTACCATATGATTGTAGCCTGCAAATACAAATGTCTCATAAAAGAAGCAAAAAGCTAGCCTAGCATTCATTTAAACATCTTAAACATCAACTATTTTTGTTCCTACTTCAAGTTCTTAATCATTTGAACCTCATAAAAATTAGTTAATAACACAACTCAAACAGCTGCACTGCGTACTACTGGAAACCAAAAAATCCAATTACATTATAAAAGTAATAAAAAAAAATATCAAAAAGGTAACTTTCTTTGAAATTTTATTGTCATTATTTTATATTTTTAGGAGTTAAAAACAATCTTTTATAACGAAAAACAAAATTAAGGCAGAGCACTGACATACACATCATGCAAAACAAATCTAACAAACACAAAAAAGCCATCATTTACTTTGAGTCTTCCTTCATTTGTCATCACAGACTATGTTTACATGTATTGGGGGTATTAGGTTGTTGCCTTGTTCAAGTCAGAAGATTCTGTTCATAGCTTACTCATATCTAGATGTCACAAACACCTCTGTAAATGAAATAATTGTGTATTTTTGGTATTACAATGGGTATTCCATTATAGTAGATTAAAAGATATTGTAAAGTCTTGGGAAGTATCAGCATGTTCCAGAGATAACATTCAAGTCTCTTATAATCACAATAAGAGTCTATTCAGGTCACTGCAGGTAATGTTTGACATTTACATGCTCCAACACATGAGCAGAAAGCCTCGGTAATTTAGGGGAATAATGTTGTATATGTAAACATAGCCACTGACCTCAACTTCTCTCTCTTCTGTCCCCCTTCTCTCTCTAAGGTCCTAAGACTGACAGTATACTTCACACAAAATCGAATTTGGCAGGTTTGCAGGTGAGGTTTGGTGCCAAAAAAGTATAAGATTTGAGTTTGATGTCCCAGGTTGGCCGGATGAATTTGCCAATGTATTTGAAAATGTTTTTGCACCCTCATACACCCTCAGTCAAAGATTGTCCAAGTTCTTTGGGGCACTTCTAATATTTCTCCTATTTTGTGCTACCAGAACCATAGCAACATCAATAAAACAGTTTACTTGTGGTACTACTCTACTGTCTGTTCCCATCATGGCCCACACATTCCTCCAGTTAGTGTGGATGCATTAAACAAAAAGGCCGGAGTTGCAGTGTGTACACTAGCTTGAACTCACAACACCTCAGCAGCGTTTGAGAACATGCCAAATTCAATTTTATTTGGATCATACTGCTGGCCTGCCACTCCTTCTCTTCCCTCAAGCACTGACAAACACCAGGCGAGTGGAGTAGATCAGGTCAGCCAGGTAGAGGATGAAGTTGACAGCAGTAAGCACAGCCACTGCCATGTACTTATCCCAATTACACAACCCTGCGTTGTAACAAGAAGATGGCCTGTCTTTGGTTCCACCGTGCTTGGGATCAAAGTTGAAGATGGGCCAGATGATGGTCGCTGACAGATAGAGGACCACAGCCAGTAGGGCGTAGGCTGACAGGAAGCGAGCAAATGGGAAGGGGAGGCAGCCGGTACACTCGCCAATGCACAGCAGGATTATGACCGCTGATAAGATGAAGCAGATGCAGTAGACTGCCATGCAGTACTTGAGTGCATCGTGACGGTCATACAACACAGGGTCGCTGACAAAGACAAAGATGATGCAGGCCACAAAGGTCTCGCAGACTTTGAGCAGGCCAGGGGCGGTGGCCATGTAGCCAGCCACCTCACCCGGACGTGCTTTGCTGATGCTCACCTCACTAATGTAGGCGATGGTAGCCAGGCAGGAGAAGACAGTTGACACAATGTGGTAGTTGCGGATCTCACCATGGCCTGAGGTTCCCTTGAGGTAGTAGAGGGGGAAGATGATGGAGGCAGATAGGCAGAGCAAGGCGGCGTAGCAGGCAAAGGTGATAGGGAAGTTCTTCCAGGAGACAGGAGCTCTGGTCTGAAGGCCAAACATCTCCACCAGGATGACGAGCAGAGTCCCGGCAAAGCTGAAGGCCCAGCAGAAGATGCACCAGTCTCCGGTGCCATGGCTGAGTCTACCACCATGCACGGCCACAGAGAAGGCCACACAGGAGAAGACAAGGGCCGCCAACCGTGTCCAAAAGAGAGGGCTTGAGTGGAAGGTTATAGCCATGATGGGAGATGCAGTAGGTGATGAGAGAAACTAAAAAGGTTCCTTTGAGGTGTGTCTCTTCTCTTTCTTTTTGGGAGTCCCCCCACTGTTTACCAGCAGTCACTAACACACACAGAACTGCAGGAAGAAAAGACAATGAAAAGAATAGTAAGCAATGTATCAGGTTTTTATGTCATTTTTTTCTGACCGCTAGATGAAGTACAAAATAAAACCCTGAGTGCAACAGCTTGCAAGTCACACAGTCAAATCATTGTATTTTTATGAGTTGTAAAAACAGAAGGTGAAAGCCTGTAAACACAATTTCAGACCACAAATGATGACTGCACTGTGGTCACAGCACAGTTACTGTATATTTGGCCAAATTATCCGGTGAACATGCCTCTATAACTCCAGACATCTTTATCAACAGCATTCCTTTTTTGATGTTCCTCCGAGCTTATGACCTCGGTGTTGGGCATGGTGCTGTAATCGCCACAAACCTCACATTGTGTCTCTTATCATGCTTCAGATGTGGCCTTTCTCATTTGTTTCACTCCCACACCCAGGGACCTCATCTACACTGTAAAAAGAATCTGAAATCTTAAAGAGATTGTGAACATAAAGCAGCTGGGTTTAACAAATTCGGAACATTGTTAATAGAAGCTGCATGTGAAATGTGTATGGATTCTTCTCAATCACTATTACACTGTCTTTAGTAATAATTCATAAACTTTAGCCCTTGACATCAGACTGGCTGAGTTTTTCTAAATGACTCTTAATAATAAATACAGAACAGAATATTCCTACATGCTAAGGGTTATGTTTAGTGCAACACCTGCTTAGTAACAAGTAACAACAAGTAACAAGCAAAACTTTGTAACTAAGTAATATTTCAAAACCCCAAAATATTCAACATGTGCATGTTAAAATATAAAGTAGAGGAAAAAGGCAAGTCCTCACAATTGCAGTGCTGAGACAAAAACAAAATAAACAAACAAACAAGATTTAGCTGGATAAAAATATTTGTGGATTATCATCAAAAGTAGTTGCTAGATTTGGCATCAACGTTGTTTGTTGCTGACTGTGTTCCCTCTACCATTAGTGTTGTATTTGGTGGCTGCTAATAATATGACCACATGATGCTAAACTCAGCCATAGATGTTCCATTTCCAGAAGTTTTTGGTGTCCTGTTTGCCGCAAGCCCCAACTGGTTTCATTCAGCTGTACTCATTGCAAGGCAGCGAAGAGTATTTTCAAATCAGAGAAATTACTCACACTGCAACCTCTTCTGCAGCTGCATAGCGCTGTGATCTAATGAGGCTACTGCCATTAGTCTCAGCACAGATAATGTCCTCATGAACAAATGGATTTGTATTGAACGTCGAGGCACAATGACATCTATATGAGGAAACTTGCTCTTTGATTCTGAGGGACTGATGTTGATAAAAGCTGATGTTTGTTGTTGGACCTTTATTGATATAGAAATAAAACTCTGGAAAATACTTCTGGATATAATGAACTCAGAGTGATTTGCATCACAAAAAGATTTAAAACCAACTGCTGTGCATTTGAAGCTCCAACAACAAGACGAGACAGACATTTTACAGTGTAGAACCTCCCTGACAACACTGGCAGTCCTCCCTCTCAGCCCTCCTGACATCAATCGCCCACTTGGCTCCACAAGCACTGTGCTGCATGTTCCCAGTTAACATAGAGAGACAATTATAAACAAGAGAAAAGGCCTGTTTACATTAGTCCTATTAAATGCCAAGGAAACAGCCGAGGCTGACGAGGTGAGAAGCTGAACTGGGGGGAGGTCTGAACACAAAGAAGAGGACAAAAAGAGCCAGAAAGGGAAAAAGAGACCCCTGGAGGGTGAGTCACTTGTAACCAAGAGGGAGGGGAGGGTAGTAAAAAAGAGGGAGGAACACGGGGGAAGCCCTGTACCTCGGCCGCAAAAGGACACATAGTTTAAACACAGTGATGGAGTGAAATAGCAAAAGAGTGAGTCACCACTGGGCCCCTCATTTTCACCACTCTTTCTTTCTCTCCCTCCTTCTCCCCTCCCTTGTTTCTTGTAAAATTTTCCAACTCACTGATGCATTCCAGATGTGCTACAGTCTGGTTGCTGCTGAACAACTGGTAACTTTGTCATATTTGCCAAATTCTTTCCTTTTGCTTCCCTCTCTTTTCCTTCCCTTCCTTCCCTCACGGTCTCATTTGGTGACTACTCTCTCTCTTTTCCACCAGTTGTCCTCTTTCTCCCTCCCTGCTCAATACTCCCACTCCAGCTATAAAGTCAGGGTACCAATTATCATTCATGTAAACCACTCAAAATAAAGCTAGTCTCATTTGGTGACTACTCTCTCTCTTTTCCACCAGTTGTCCTCTTTCTCCCTCCCTGCTCAATACTCCCACTCCAGCTATAAAGTCAGGGTACCAATTATCATTCATGTAAACCACTCAAAATAAAGCTATAGAGGGTCGTAATGGAAAATTTCCCCCAGCCACTCCTGCTGCCATTACTTTCCTGGTTATGGAATTGAGTCAGGAAAGAAATGGGAGAGGAAAATGGCAGAGGCAAGAAAAAAGAAAAGAGACATGTGGAAAAAGTGTCTTTTCACAGCACAGTATGGAAAACACAACAGGATCACATGAAGAGGGGCACTTCCCGAAATGAAAGCAGTACTGAAAATACACATTAGGCTTGCAACAGGACAGCAAACAGGATGTGACACTATCATGCTCCCCTGCACAGTCATTTTTCATACAAACAATATTCTGACACGCTCACACACACAGAGGAAATCAATATTGGTTTCAGAAAGAGAGGTCTTGTACGCTGCTTGTTTGGTTGTCATGACATAACATCACTAAATCGATTTCACCACTAACCCAAAGCCTGGGTTGAAGCACAAGAGCAGCTCTGTTGTTAAACTGTCCATAGCGTGTGTGTTTGTATGTGTATGAAAGTAAGGTTAGTATATTAGTTTATTAAAGTTCAACCACTGTGCATTTTCAAGAGGCTGAGGCAAAATAAAAATTTGCTTTTGCTTTTTTGTAAGGGGTTTCAAATAAAAAAAATCCAAAGTATTCAACATTTTCACTCAGAATACAGCTGTTAACAGCCTAGAGAACAACTGGAAACAGCGATCATAATCTCTTTATTGATATATACATTGGTTGTTTGTTTTTATCAAAGCAGACTGACACACCACACCTACTCAGTGAAGAAGGAGACATGGATACAGCTCCTTATTTAAATGAAGAACAGTGATAAACCTGATGAAAATAATAAAAAAATTTATAAAAAACAATAAATAATTCATGCACCTGAATAACAGAAGACAACACTGCTAGCGTAAACATTTAGTTTGGCAGCTGTATTTCAGGCTTATGCAGAGTTTCATTCATTGGCAGTGAATGTGGGTGTGCTGTCTGCCACACCCTGCTCCCAACACACACACCACACTATGTTCTAGTGGGCACAAACTAGCATAAAAACACAAACATAAATAACCAAAAAGGTTTCCCCACAAACAGTGCAAAGAAAACCAACTTCTGAAAACATCACATTGTTGCTGTGTGTCTGAAAGTTACTCAGCACAAAAATACTACAGTAGAAAATATTAAAAAAAATAAATCAATAAAAATAAAATAAAACCTCTACAAACCTACAATGGCGCAATTTAGAAATCACTTCCTTTAAACCCTTTGAGTTTTCCTCCGGCTCAACTCTTTTTTTTTTATTGGCTCTCTTCCAAGTGCAGAGAACTGTGAAAATTTCCTTCAACATGGAAAAATACAAACATAATAGCTGCTGACAGTATCACACTGTTTCCATGAAGCTTGCCTGTAAGTAAAATGCAACATGTTGCAGCTAAACAAACGCTGGTCTTTGGACAAGCACAAGACGTTTTCCTTAGCGCCAACTCACCACGACATAATAGTGCTGTCTGAAAGGTCATTACCTTGTACGCTTGCCGCTACTGCTCTCTGTTCTCCAGGGCATCCAGCATAGAGAATGTAACTGTCCAGCTATGTGACTTGACTACTAGCAGCTCAGAGGAACAGCTCCCCGCCCAGCAAACCAAATTAGGAATCAAATGTCTGCACCGTTATTCACATCTGTCTGAGCTCACGTCCTCCACCCAGTAGACCGGGACTCTGCTGCTTAACACACCCAGCATAGCCTAGTGCAGCAGAGCTTTACTGTCTGGTAAAAAATAGACTTCTTGATTAATTGTATACACTTTCACTGGCTGGCAGTGTCATGAAAAGCAGAGACAGTAAGAAATCTAAAGTTAAATAAATGTTTTTATAAATATTTTGCTCTTCTATGTGAAGATGAATGTAATTGTATTTAAATCTGTTACTGGAAATTTTGTTTGTTTCTTTTATTAAAAACAACATGTATATATTGTGGGAATAGGTCACTGTAGGTGTGCTGAGGCCCCTGCTCTACACCCTGTACACCCACGACCCACTGTAAAAGAAAAATACCCACATCTCTTTGATTAAATTCACAAGACAATTATCTCAAAAAAAGGTTTCTATCAGTGTTGCTATTGACACCGGCCACATCAAAATATTTGTCAAAGTTACAGCCTGAATCATCGCACTTGATGATTATTTGTATGTGTTGCCTAGCAGAGCACGACGAGCACCAGCAGCAGCAGCAGCGGCAGCGGAAGCAGCAGGAACCCCTGACAACCATATACTTATTTACTGAAAGTTGTAAGTTGAGTCATTTTCTGTCTGTTAAAAAAAGCTGTCAGAGAGAGAGAACTGCTATCATTCTTATGAGATTGCTTTCATTTGTTTAAATTTCTTACATTTCATTCCACCATAACAATGTGTTGCTGTTAGAGACTAGCACAACATGCTTGTGTGTGAAAAGCATAAGCTTTATTCTTGTGTATTTATTACTGAAATATGTATTTTAAAATAATTTACAAAATGTACAAATACCTGAACAGGACCTCACAAAATCAATATAAGATTAGATAAGACAAGACAAAATAAGATAAGATAAGATAAGAAAATCCTTTTTTGTCATTGTAACACATACAGTGAAATTTTAGAGTGACCTCCAGTCAGTACAGCAATAGAAATACACATAACATATGAAATAAGACCATATATAAAACTTACCTGCTAGAAAAACGAAATAAACAACAGACCTCTCAGGCTCCCCCTCACACAAACAGGCATATTATATTTTATCAGCATTGAGTGTGGTAACTGTTGTTTGGTAAAAACTATTCCTGAATCTAGTGGTCCTTGATTTGATTGCTCTGAACCATCTACCTGATGGCAGCAGTTCAAAGAGTGAACGCCCTGGATGTGAAGTGTCCTTAATGATGTTCTGGGCTTTTTTTGAGGCAGTGCCAACTGTGTAGTGCTTTCAGAGTGAGGAGAGGGTAGCTGACAATCTCCTGGGCCGTATTAATGACCCTCTGGAGCGTTTTCCTCTGAGCCTCTGTGCTGCTGCTGTACCATACACATATACAGTATGTAACGATGCGCTCAATGGAGCACCAACAGAAGGACACCAGCAGTCTCTGGGAGATGTTGTTCTTCCTGAGCACCCGTAGGAAGTACGGATCCTCTTCAATATGGACTCCCAGAAAGTGGAAGGCCGGCACCCTCTCCACACGGTCCCTGCTGATATACAGTGGCAAAATATCAGTTTTCTTCCTCCTGAAGTCAACAATGACCTCCGTAGTCTCTGAGATATTAAGTAGCAGATTGTTTTCTCTGCACCACACTATCAGCCTCTCCACCTCATCTCTGTAGGCAGTCTCATCCCCCCCAGAGATAAGCCCCACCACCGTGGTGTCATCAGCAAATTTTACAATGGCATTGCCATGGTGGGCGGGGGTGCAGTAGTGGGTGTACAGGGTGTAGAGCAGGGGGCTCAGCACACAGCCTTGTGGGGAACCAGTGCTGAGGCTGAGAGGCGTGGATGTGTGTGGGCCCACTCTCACTCTCTGGCTTTGTCTGGACAGGAAGCTCTTAATCCATATGCAGATGGTATATGGAATTCCCAGGTTTATTTAAATAAATAAATACTTTTGCATTGTTTGCTCATATGCATGTTTATGTGTCCTACTTTACCAGAAGGTGTCTCACTAAACCTGAAAACTGCAAAATGTTGACGAGGATCATAAACATGCTGTCATCCTTTATTTAAAAAAATTATCACTTTAGTCAGACTGGTCAAACTGTTTCAGTTTTTGTCTCATTTAATCTGAGATCAACCTATAGACTATCTGCCGATATTGGGTCAGACTGTGTAGAAGTTGATCTCATAGATCTGCTATGTTTTGCCGTGATATATTAAGTTTAACATGTTTAAATGTCCGCAGATGAAAGTTTTAGTAACTTACTCTTTGTTTGTAACATCGGTTTTTGTGACTTACTACCGCCAGCAGATGGCGCCAGATTAAACTTTAAAGCATGACGTGTTTGTTCTGCGACTTTTTTCTTTTTGGGAGCGTCACTTTTCAGAGACGCTGCTGTCTGTCTGGAGAAGGTAACATCATGGCGTCGGGAACAGGAGAGGCGGTCACTGGGCACGATGCAGAATTGGACGAGTTATTGGACAGTAAGGGATGACATTAAGTGTGTACATTCACCTTCATGTTACCAACATCCCTACGGTTTGTTCTGGTGTTGAAGAGTCAATTCAATTCAATGTTATTTGTAAAGCGCCAAATCACAACAAAAGTCGTCTCAGGACACTTTATAAAGTAAAGTCTAGATTTTACTATTATTAATATTATAGAGGAAACCCCAACAAATCCCTCTTGAGCAAACACTTGGAGACAGTGGGGAGTTAAAACGGCTGTTATGTGGCCCCCCCCCCCTCTTTTTCTCAGTGTTACGGGTTTAGCTTGTGTGTTCGGTGGGACCTCCCGCTTAAGTCCAGTTGTCAAAGTAGCTTAAAGTTATGCCCCTGACAGGCAAACCAGATGATGATGCTGTTCACCAACATAAACAAAGTCATTGCAGGTGACGTTGTTAATGTAATGTAGCAGTGATCCAGATTCATCGAGCGGCTCTCACACATTGGATTTTATTTTTATCGAAAGACAATTGACGTTAGCACGGCGGCGCCTCAGCTGCTAGTGACAGTGACTGTGTACTCTTTAATGTGCAGAATTCCTCTCTAGTCTAGTTATTGTACTACTGTAAATATGTTATTGTGACTCTACTCGACACTTTCCACTTTTAAGTGCACCCACCTTTCTAATAAAGTGTGAGACAGCCCTGAAGTTAATTTTACAGCCATAACTCCTACAGTTTGTAGTTTCAGTTGAAAATTTTGGTTATTATTGAAGCTGTTAAATTGTATTGAGAAGTAATGAAAATATTTTGTCCACCCCATTTATACCAATGAGAGCTGACTAAATATTGCACCTGTCAGTATAACACAGTCCAGTTTAACAGCACTGCAAACTAGAGCCTCCACAATAACCATAAGTCGAATCAGTACTTAGTTATAACTTTCATGAATGTCAGCAGGATGTTAGTGCTGTTATATTAGACTGCCTTTGTTTTAACCATATTTGCACATGCTGTGTGTGTTAAGAGACAAGAATAACTAGATAATCTTCTCACATTTGGGTGAATGACTCCATTATTAAAATTGTAGTGACTGACATGGTTCTAAAGTTGTCTCTTTCTTTCAGGTGCACTGGATGACTTTGACAAGACATCGGCCCCTCCAGCTCCTGAACCTGCAGCTGCTTCTTCCTCAGCCAGCAGCGGTGCAGACAAGGTCTATATGTGCAAAAACAAGACAATCACAACCCCACTTTTCTTCTATTGTGTATTCTCTTTTAACTTTATTTTAGCATGAGGTAAATCTTAACCTAGAGAAACTATTTTGTATAGCTAACTATAAATTTTGCTTTTCCAAGAAGTTACTGTAAAGGAAAATGTTTTTCAGAATCAGCTTCTTGTGTTTTATTTGTTTTTGTTTTTTTAAGTTTGTTTTTTTAGAGGTTTGAGTTTGGGTAAAAATGTTCATGCCTAGATCAGTTAAAGAAGAGTTATTACAAGTTTCTATTTCCAACTCAACTAATCACCATATTTGTGGTTGTCTGTTATTTGATCTCAACTCTGTTGGGTTCTTCTCCCCCATTTCTTTGTTTTACAGCCGTTGAACCTTTTCTGCTTCCACATGTTTCAGTCAGCTGGTTGTCGGTTGTGTTACCTCCAAAGCTTTAAAGGTTCAGTCCTACAAATCTGCCCAGAAATGATTCCTTATTATTCAGAACATGTCTGGCAGGGTTAAGGTTACATTTTAAGCTTTAGAGTTTGTGTTCCTGTGATGACAGAAGGGGTTACTGAGTACTGAGAAGCCGCAGGTTAGATACAGTTTAACACCCTTTCCACCTGCAAATCTCTAGCAACTGCTTATGTGTTTTCTGTTGACCTGTGTAGCCACCCCTCCTTGAGGACTGCAAGCTTTTTGAGACTCTCTTTGAGGGGGAAATGGCTGCTCAAGCCAAGGATGAGTGGGAGAAGGCCATGACTGAGCTGGCCCAGGAGGAGCCGGAATTACTGCAGCACTTCCAGAAACTATCGGAGGCTGCAGGCAAAGTTGGTAAGATCTATACTTTTTATTGTTTATGTTTGTTATAATGTTTCTTCAGCTGAATCTGTCTGTGTGTACTCTGTATAGGCACTGACACTGCCTCACAGCAAGAATTTACGTCCTGTCTTAAAGAAACCCTGCGGGGCTTGGCCAAAAATACAGACAACCTGCAGGTGGGTCAAATCACAATTGATTTCAAAGTGCTTGACACTAATTTAAAATCATTTACTGATTGGATATTGTTTACCAACAGTCCACAGGACTACCTGGAGATGATCTTGTCAAGGCTCTAGAAGGGTTGGGATTAGATGAGGGTGGTGAGGCAGGCAGTGATGATGGAAACATCCTCCCCATCATGCAGTCCATCATGCAGAATCTGCTCTCTAAGGAAGTGCTTTACCCGTCTCTCAAAGAGATCACTGTCAAGGTATGGCTCTTTTTTTAATGGGAGTTGCCATACTTTTTAGTGTCCATTTGGGTGGTTTTAATAATTGTCACCCACCCTCACAGTACCCAGAGTGGTTGGATGCCAACAAGCCCAGCCTTAGCCCAGAAGACTACAAGCGGTATGAACATCAGTCCGAGATCATGGGAGAGATCTGTAAGCAGTTTGAGAAGGAGGAAGAGGGGGCAGGGAATAAAGAGAGCACTTTTGAGAGCATCATGGACCTGATGCAGCAGGTAAACTTAACTTTGAATCAAAGAGAGAAAAATAAAGTTCTTACATTAAATAGCTTATATTATATTAAATAGCTATTGCTAGCAGGGGAGCCACATTACAATGGTCATGTATAGTATTGCTTATAAGCTGTTGCACTGATCTAACCTCAACCAGAATAGATTTTGGTTTGTTAATAATGAAACTCATCACAGATTATAATGCTTTCATTTACAGCTGCAAGACCTTGGTCAGCCACCTAAAGAGTTAGCAGGTGATGCGGTAAGTTGCATATATGTCTGAGTACTTGATTCTTGGGATAACTACACACAGGATCCACAAAGTACAGAATATATGCATTTGTCATGTACCCATCTCGAAGTTGCTGAGTTCCTATATTCCTTACTAACCAGTCATGAATGTCTGTTTTCAGCTAATCCAACAAATTGACCTGACAAAGTTACTAAATCATGTTGATAAAGAAATCTTTTTCTTTAATCCAATACCACCATTATACCATCTTTCTCAGTAATAAACACATTGTCCCCAGTGGCCCAGAGATTAAAGGAAGTGGTTTATATATTGTACTATATGGTTTTGTCATTTTGCCCAGTCCTTGCTTAGACATGACAGTATTTTTCCCCTTTCATCTTCCCCTCCAGCCTCCTGGTTTTAACTTTGACATGGAGTCCCTCAATCTCCCTGGTGGCCCTGGGGCTGGCGCGGCAGAGCAGTGTTCTATCATGTGAGGAGGTAGTGCTGTCACCCATCAGGAGCACTGGAGCTGGGAGGTCACTCTGTGTGCATCAGCAATAATGAGGAAGTGAGAAACGGGTGACAAGTGTGTGAAGCAAAGATCAGCCAGGAGTGTGGCCGTCATTGCTGTTCTCCCTCAAGCAGACAGTGTGCTGATGGAGGGAAACACAAAACCCAACGTGAACACACACTCAATCACACTCTTCTGTGTAAACCCACTGGACGCACAACTGAGAACATTTAACATCTCTGCATTACTTTTCTGTTGCCACTTGGCCTTTGGTTTAGTTTTAACAGCATTCCTTTAAAAACATGCCACTGCCGTTTTCCGTTTTCTGTTTTCCTACCGTTCAGCCTCATGGTAACATCTACCAAACTACTTCATGGGTATAAACGGTGCCTTTGCAAAATGTCTTCAAGTCATGATTTTAGGTCTCAGAATAGAGTGAAGATTGTGCATCATTCAACTAAGCACTTCAGATTATAGTTGTAAAGTAGTATGATCACCCCAGGTTTACACCAAGTTAGTGATTGTTTTTGGTGATTCATTAAACTTACAATTACATTTTGATCTGTGTGCAGGCTGTACAGGGTTTGACTTTGTCTTAAAAATGTATTAATGTGTAAAGGAAGTGTAAAAAGTGAGTGTACATTTGCTAATTATTTAAATAATTAAAAGACTAGAGAAGATTGAACACCTCATGAGAAGTTCCCAGCACCTACTCTAATTCAGCCAGTTAACTTAACAAGACCCATTCCTGAGTGTTATACCCCTGTCCCTGGAATTGATTTGAATGAGGTGATGATTCCCCAATGCTTTTACTGTGTAGTGTTAGTGTGCAAAGTACTTCCGTGTGATTCCCAGTATTTTTAATGTGCAGAGTGATGTTTTCTTTAGTATGGTGTCCCTATTAGGAAAGACAAACACTTGACTAGTGTTTACTGCCTACTAGCACCTGATAACCTAATGAAAAGTACGTTATGTTCTTTCTATAAAAAGTGACAGCAGAATGGTAAACCTCATTGTTTCAAAAGTGGAGGAAAAAACATGTTTATATTTCATGCAGATGCGCTTTTTGGCTAGGAAACCATCAGCCTGATGTTAGTACATTTTAGGTGTAGTTGGTGGGTGTGTTTACTCCAGCGGCCACTGTTTGCCAGCTGCTATTTCTGCTGGACAAAAGTATACCACTGTCAATGCAGAGGGAAGTCTAGAAATCACACAACAACCAGTAACTATAATAAAGGGGCACTGCTGTGAAAGGATCCAGTTGACCTTGTACTGCAAAGAGATCAAATTTACATCCAATACACACCTGAGGAGGTACATAAAGGGTTTCATCGTGAGTGGAGCGGTAACAAATGCAGCCTGTTATTTGACACTACATTGTTTTGTAAATATATTAAATAAAATGATATATTGCAAATTAATTTTGGTTGTAGGTTATTACTAAGCATTGCTTTTATATTACTAGTGGCAAGTGGCTGAATATAAGAAAGTACATTTTTTCAGATTTATTATAACATTTTTAAATTATGTACTTATGCAATGTATTCAGTAAGTGTATGCACTTATAGGTACTTGGGTTTTTAGTGAAATAATCCTCTCTATGCTGTTTTATTCTTCAGTTTCACTACATTTCAGGCAAAATATTGTACCTGATGAATGCCACAAGTTGAAACGCATAGCTCTGACAAAGTTTTCATTTTTATTTTTTCCAATTACAAATGTTGTTGGAGTTTTGATCTTTTTGGTGTAAGTGAAGGTGTGCCTGAAATCCTGTCTCTACTTTTAAGATATTGAACAAATTGAGGCTTTAAAATTAACAAAATGTCAGACATAAAACATTATCCAATGATCTATGTTATGTGCTATCGATGAGCCTACAGTGTAACTGTGTTAGCAGATCTTTATTGATACATAGCTAAGAGGAACAATTAGTCACATAAACCTTGTCACATTTTGCGTATATTTATGTCTGATTGGTTCAGACTGTGTAGAAGTTGATCTTATAGATCAGTTATGACAATATGTCGTCAGCAGAGGGCTTGGTAGTGCAATTTTATGTGTTGTATTTCTATCTCCCGTCGCCGTGGAGCTTTCTGCGTCCACGTTTCACTTCACAACTTTATTGTTCACAACCGGAAGACAGATCGAGCTACGTGTCAGGAAAAAGAAGAATCTCCTAAATGGGCGAAGGCGATTAGGTCGTCTGAATCAACCTGTGTGGAATATTTTGTTTACTTTTATTCTTGGTGTTGAATTGCATCTTATCACAGCAGTAAAATTACAACGTGTATAAACGTCTTTGACAATGTTAACCAAGTTTGAAACGAAGTCGGCCCGCGTTAAAGGTAAGAGTTTGCCAGCTGTAGTTAGCGTAGGAGCTAACGTTAGCTAGCTGACTTTATCTGGCTCAGCTATTTATCCTTTGTTGCGCTGTTAATGAATACATTCACTGTATTCATTGCATTTATTATTTTAATTAATTTATGTCATGTATTGTGATCAAATTTAGTGATGCTGATTGGACACCACCTCCCTGTCTAAGCTAGCTAACGTCAACGTAACAAACGCCACCATTAACGTAATACAGTAAACCTGGCCACTTGCTGTGTTTTCCTTTGTTGATATACAGTACTGTAAACGGATCTTTGCAAATGATAATATATTGTTGCTCTACTGTCTTACTTTTCAGGCCTGAGTTTCCATCCCAAAAGACCATGGGTTCTTGCAAGTTTGCACAACGGAGTAATCCAGTTATGGGACTATCGGATGTGCACACTGATTGACAAGTTTGACGAGCATGATGGTAAGACAGTGGTGTGACTTATGTGGTTCATAACCACATAAGCTTATGTGGTTCATAATCACATAACCAGGAAATTGCAAACAGTGCCGTTACGTTTTTTGCGACTGTATTATTTGTACTTTCACATAGTGTTCTTGATCGATACGTGATATAATTGGTGCGTCTTCACCCACAGGCAGCGGCGGTTTTTGGAATGGGCGAACGGGGCAGCCACCCGGCGCGGCGTTTTTTCATGACACGTGGGGGGCGGCACATGCACTTGGAAAGAAAATAATCTGCGCCGCTAAGCGGTTTTCTATTATCTATCATATGTGGCGCCCCTGCTTGATGAGAAGGTGCCGTGCACAGAAGCAGTTTTTTGCCGAAGGAGAGAATAGAGAGAAGTGAGGAAAGAAACGAAGGGGTCCTTGTGTTTGGCTTATGTTCGTGTTATGCACGTTATACATGCTTGTCACACTGATAAAAGGTAATGCAAAAGAAAGTCTGTTGGTGTTTGTGTCTGTGATTTGGCTAGGTGCTAGCACCCCGCTAGCTAGATTAGCTGCTCAGTATAGTTGTAGGTTAGACTACCTTCTCCCCCACCATGCGAGGCCGTTACATTTGGTGTCAGAAGTAGGAGATAGTTGGTTCGGCTGAACAACACCATGGAGAGAAGCATGGCTGAGCTGGAGTGAGAGATTGAGGAAAACACCCTCCAGCTAGAGTGGCTGAGGAGGAGAACGCGCCGTGGGGAGGAGGCTGACCCTCAGCCTGATGGCGCCAGCGCTCCACTATGCACCCCTCGCCCAGGCCAACTGTCAAACTGCCCAGGTATGGAGGACTGACTCCCTTAGAGCCCTACCTGGCGCAACTATACCTGGCGGCTTGCCATGGAGGATGGAGCCAGGAGGAGGCAGCAGTCCGGCTGGCGCTTGCCTTAGAGGGGGACGCGCTGCAGGTCCTCCTCGATCTGTCCCCAGAGGAACGAACGGAGCTGCCCAGCTGCCCTCGACTGCTGCTTCGGCCAAAGAGTCTTGGCCGAGCGGAGCAGGGAGGAGTTGGCTGGCAGACGCTGGTAAGAGGGGGAGAGCCTGGGGGGCTTTTGCTGCCGACCTGCGGCTCCACGTCAGGTGGGGTTACGCCAGTTTCCCAGCGATGCCGAGGGAGAAACTGAGCCTCCATGCCTTTCTGCAGGGCCTCGCTCCGGAGCAACTCCACCAGCACGTCGGCACCTTGCGACATGAACGAGGCGCTGAAAGAAGCGGAGCGAGCCGAAGAGGTACTGGGTCCACGGCCAGCGCGAGTGTTGCCCCCGCATCCATGCATCCGGACAGCGGAGCTGGGAGGAGAGGCAGCTGGGCTGGAAGGGCCAAAGACTAGCCAGGCCCAGTTGGCAGAAGAGCGCCAGCAGAGGCCGACACCGGACCACTGCTTCTGCTGTGGTTTGCACCTGACCACACAGGAGAAGGAGAGGCTGTTAAATCTGCTGGGGGAGTTTGTGGGCATTTTCACAGCGAAGGAGGAAGACTGTACCAGCACAGGCCTGGTGCAGCACCACTTTGACACGGGAGATGCCACTCCTATCCGCATGCGCCCCCACAGACTTCCCCTAGCCAAACGCCAAGCTGCTGAAGGACTGATTGAAGAGATGGCAGCTAATGGCGTTATTAAGCCCTCTGACAGCCCCTGGGCCGCCCCGGTGGTTATGATGCGGAAGAAGAGCGAGGGATGGCGCCCTTGTGTGAACTATAGGTGTCTCAACGCCGTCACCCACAAATACTCGTACCCGCTGCCCCGCATCGATGACGCTCTGAACTATGTGGCGGGGTCCAGTTGGTTTAGCTTATTGGACATGCGCAGTGGGTACTGGCAGGTGGAACTGGCACCAGAGGCCCGCCCCAAAACTCCATTCTTTATTGGACAAGGGCTGTGGCAGTTTCGGGTGATGCCCTTTGGCCTCTGCAATGTCCTGGCCACCTTCGAGAGACTGATGGAGCAGGTCCTAAAAGACATACCCCGTACCCGCTGCCTGGTGTATTTAGATGACCTGCTAGTCCACGCAAAGAGCTTCACGCAGGCCCTTGACAACCTGTGCGAGGTCCTGACCACCATCCAGGGTGCTGGGCTCCGGTCCAGTTGGTTTAGCTTATTGGACATGCGGAGCTTCACGCAGGCCCTTGACAACCTGTGCGAGGTCCTGACCACCATCCAGGGTGCTGGGCTCCGTTTAAACCCGGCAAAGTGTCACCTGCTCACTCGGCAGACACAGTTCCTGGGACACGTGGTCAGCCAGGGAGGTGTGGCCACTGACCCAGAGAAGGTGGTCGCAGTGAGGGACTGGCCCTCACCAAGAAACGTGGCCGAGCTGCGCAGCTTCCTGGGCCTGGCGTCCTACTACCGGCGGTTCGTCAGGGGGTTTGCCACAGTGGTGGCTCCCCTCCACCAGTTGACAAACAAGAGTAGGAGGTTCGAGTGGGACGAGGGCTGCACCACTGCCTTCCGCCAGTTCAAGGCGATGCTGGTGGAAGCCCCTGTCCTGGCCTACCCCGACCCCCAGCGGCCCTTCATCATGGACACTGATGCCAGACTTTGAGAGCCAGCATCACCTAGGTCGGCAGCACATCGACCCTGACGCTCTTTCTCGTCGCCCCTACGTGGCTGACGATTGTTCAGTTCCTGGGACACGTGGTCAGCCAGGGAGGTGTGGCCACTGACCCAGAGAAGGTGGGACTGGCCCTCACCAGGGGGTTTGCCACAGTGGTGGCCCCCCTCCACCAGTTGACGAACAAGGGTAGGAGGTTCAAGTGGGATGAGGGCTGCACCACTGCCTTCCACCAGCTCACGGCAGCGCTGGTGGAAGATGTATGCACAGTGGGGCAGCCTGGAGCTCCATGACGGCCTCCTCTACAGACGGTGGCAGGCCCCGGGCCAAGGGGTTGACCACCTGCAGCTGCTGGTTCCCCCCGCACTCTGATCGGAGTCCTACGCTGGACTACTTCATGAAGTGGCCGGAGGTATACGCGGTGCCGGATCAGAGTGTGGCCACCTCTGCTCAGTGTCTAGTAGACAATGTTTGCCCGGTTCGGGGTCCCAGAAGAGCTGCACAGTGACCAGGGGTGAAACTTCGAGAGCCAGCTGTTCAGCGAGGTGTGCCAGCGACTGGGGGTAAAGAAGACGAGGACTGCCCCTCTGCATCCCCAGAGCGACGGCCTCGTTGAACGATTCAACCGCACCCTGGCTACTCAGCTCGCGACCCTCACCAGCCCACTGCTCAGTCTAGTTGTAGGTTAGACTAGCTTCTCCCCCACCACGTGAGGCCGTTACAGTATTATAAACACAGACCTATAATTTGCATGTTTTAGTTTTTTCCAAATTGTGTGAAATGGCTAATAAAAATAGGTAATACAGGGTGAATTGGTTTAGTCTTGATTCTGGTCGTGAGTGGCAGTGTTGGGGGATGGGAAATCTGTTGATTGTCGAGTGCAAAACAAACAAACAAACAAAAAAAAAAAACAGAGCGATGGAGAGAAAAAGGTCAAAGCTGTCAGGTGCCCAATTTAGGAAAAAGAGAAAAGAAGAGGAGAAACGAGCAAAGGATAAAGGTATGCATCTACGTTCTGTATGATTACGATATCCATG